TTTGAAGGATCAAACAAAATCCACAAATATAAAGGATGTAGGGGAGAAAAATACGCAAGAATTAAAGGGGGGGTTGTTTGGCAGAAAGATAAGAGAGAGCGAGAATAACGAGTACAGAGGGGGAAAAAAAAAAAAAAAAAAAAGAACGGAGTCGCAAGGCAGGGTGACTAAAGCGGTGTATAGTGGATTTGGGGGAGGAGTGGTGGTGGTGAGAGGGAGAAGGTGCCAGGTGAATAATGGAAAGGGGAAATGTGCAAGTGAGGAAGGTTCGACTGATCTGACCTTTCCTAGAAAGAAGAAACACTGGAGCAGGTTCTGTTGACCCAGCAAGCAGATCGTCGATTTGTGCTGAAGGGTGTGTGGAATTGGTCCGTCTCCGGGGGGGTCCAACCTATGACGTAGCCTTGTCCTGGGGGGGGTTTCTGGCGATTCCGCGGCTGATGAAAAAGCCTCCTCGTCCCGGTCGAGGAGGGGCGACAAGGGAGAAGGGGGGAGGGAAGAAGTAGGCAGAAGAAATACAAGAGGTCAGCAGAGAAAAAGCAATCAAGTACAACGGCCAGCGAATCGTCTGGGCTTGCAAAAGAGAGAGTGTGTGAGGGAGGTGCGAAGGAAAGGATGGTCAAAATCGAAGAGGCCGGAAAGGAAGTAGAATAGTCCGCTATAGTGGTTGGTTAGTGAGTAATAATCATAACAATGGGGGAGATGCTGCACCACAAGTCACGACCTCCACTACCACCAGTTTTAACGTCCTCTTCTTAGTTGTTCCAATTATTGATCTCCGAGATAAACCCGCAAATCCAAGAGAAAGAGATCTGGTTGAACCATGCTCCGTAGTCATTATGATGAATACTACGGAGTAATGTTCCTGGTGTTCTCGTCCCTCTACCTACGTCATAGAGCTTGGTATACAGTATGTTACAGGTAACAAATATGCCTACCTAATGCATGGCGCTAAGTTGATTCGACTCTCTAGCAGGCCGAGGGGATATTTAAGATCCTTGTAATAAAACCAATAACAAATAGCTAGATAGATGAGTAGGTTAAAAGAAGGGAGCAGCAATCAGGTACCATGATATATAAATAGTTGACAGTTGGGCAACGAACTATCAGATCAAGACCGTTACTTACAGTTCATGCCCCCTTTCATGACTTCCCGTATTCGGCCTCCGCCAAGGTTGGCAAAAATAGAGAAACATGCGGAGTATTTTTATTTTAAGTCTACAAACTGGCACCCGTCATCACAAAAAGGAAAGAGACACCGATGGAGAGAAAAAAGGGGGGAGGTCAATATATAACTCAGGTGATCTACTGACTGATTTAATACCCAAGGGGCATGCTTGCCCAGGGGACAAAGGCAAGAACAAAATCAGCAAAAGGACATTTTAAACTATGATGGCTGAAGCAGTGTGCTGGGTCAGCATTTGGCAGTCCTATATTGATTGCATGGGTTCCCACCGGCAGGAAAAAGGAAATGAATGGTCCCACATGGTATCACAAGACCCGAACGGAGGTAACACAAGGCGATAATTCTCAAGGATCCGGTCTACCTGCTGCGATAAGTTGGCAGTTCAGTGGCTAGAGGAAAGCGCTACAATGCCTTGATATTAGATGTTCAAATCAAGAATCTAATAGCTACTTGTGCCAGTGTATAATAATAAAGTCGCAGACCATGGGTAGACAGCGTAGTTTATCCTTGCCCGGCAGTCTGCTATTTCTTTAAAATAAACAACTAGTGAGCGATTCACGGTTACTATAATCATTATTGCTTCCCACTATCTACCTTAGGAAAAGAATTCATCCTGGGAACCCGAACAAGGTTGGCTTTCCGCCAATCATCACGGATAGTCCTGTCCACCCGTCCGGAAAGGGAAAATATGGGGTACGGCCCGGCAAATTGGATGACTCTTTTTTATTTGGTCTGCTGAGTGCTGAGTGCTGAGATGGAGAGACAGGAGGATGCATTCGCAACGGCTGACAAAGTGACAACCCCTCGCCTATTTGGGAACTGCGGATTTTTACTACTCTATCATTAGTGTGGCTTTGGAGAGGTCCCCGCAAGAACCCCACTGTTGACGGTGTGGTTGATTAGTTGTTATTTCACTGACTAGTTAGTTTCTAAGCATAGTACTCCGAAGTTACCCTTCTGCTACCTAAGATGAAGTCACCCGTACGGAGTACGGATCGGACTGTGCTAATCATCCCTTTTCCCTTGTGTTTGCGAACCTTTTACATGAGAGCTGAAAATCAGAATAACAACCATTTCCGTAATCAATAAAGAAATAAATAGTCAACAGCATTTCATGGTACGCGCTCACATCTGATGCTGGGCTTCCGTAAAGAACAGCGTGTTCCGGAAGAGCACCAAATCAGAGATTCTGAAACCCGACTACGGAGTATTACTTAGGTGCTCGAATTATACGTATACGAATTCTATCTAGTGGGCTGAATCATTGATTCCGAGATAGTTCCGGGATGACTTCTGAGACAAGTCCGATATATATCATCAACTGCAATGCAAGGCTGAGGAAATTAGGTCAAGTTGCTAATCATTGTACCGAGGCCTGCGATGAAAACGTCCCCAACAAGACATCAATATGAGCCAAAGGTTATCATAGGTTAATACAAAGTTATGTCTTTATATAGCACATCGTCAATTTATTGTCAATTTATATTACCTTAGATAGAAAGAAGCTTATTCTGATTAGTCCATGTACAGGAAATATCAGTCCATAGGAAGAAAGGGTGTATGAGCCCAACGCCAAGACCATCCCCCGGTCATTGGTTACGCTATGCCACAAGGGGATTAGTGTTAGGTAGTAAGCGCTCGGTTTCCCTTGCGCGTTCAAAGCGACGAATCTACGCATCGAAGATAACCTGAATCCTAGGCTCTTAGGCTCCTTGACTCCTAGCTCAAGATTTGAAAAATGTGATACCTGATTATGCTAGAAGCGGCTTTTGTAATCTAAAGCCGGTGCGCTTTCCACGGACTCTGTTGCATTTTCCCATCATACCTCACGAAGAGCACTTCAGCAGAATGTCGGCTACTATTCTCTCTAGAATAGTCGAGCTTGATGAGCTAATCCCTATGCTTGGGAATACTGAACAAGAAGGTATGAAGATCTCGAAGCGTCGATTTCCCCTGATCCGTAGTATTATCCGTAATTCCCTAACAGGCCAACGAAGACAGGGATGTGGACTCTTTGATTCCTTGGATATTTCGGCATGCAACTACTGCAAATGAGATCAACGTGCTTGATTGGCCTGAAAATGACTATAAATTCAGTAGCCTTTTTGACGATCTCCCTTCATATTGTGCCGAGTTGGAGAAGTGGCAAATAGGCGAAGGGGATCAATTTGCTCATACAGGTATTACAAATGCCTTAAAAGAAAGGGAAACTATCACCTTGCCTAGGAGAAGCTGGGAGGTGTCTGAGAAACAGCGGTTTGGACAATTTATAGGATCTCAGGGTATGATGATAAGGGCGCTTATGAAAACCATCTATATCAACCTTGAAGGACTCAAACGTGGAGAACCTGAGATCCAGTGAGTGTCTTCTGATGTGTCTAATGTGATTGATTCTTTTCCCCCCCAAGTTTCACCGCCTCAAGATTTAGGTTGAAGTATGTAATAGGTGGTAAACAATTTGGTACCAGATTGGAAGGCGCAGTTACTGTTGGGCCGCCAGCTGAACGCTTGCCAATACTATCCTACACTGGAGTATGTATTCGAACTGTTCCTTTCCTTGTGGCCATGGCCTAATGTCTCTAGTGGTTCGAAGGACAGACCTGGAGCGAGTTTCTGGGAGAAACCGTCGGTGCAATGTTAGGGCAGCTTGCTGCCGACATAGGCATACAAAGTGGCAACAGATCTTCCCAGGACCATGAAGTTTTTGTGATAGGTTTTCATGGGCTCCATATCCATATCGCCCGTGGAATATTCACAGCCAATGATATTTCCAGAGTGCAAAGAAAGGGGTGTTCGAGGGACAATATTTTTGAACTGAGTTTTACACGGGGGTACAATCTTTGTCTGAAGAAAGATTGGTTAGAAGCCACACATGCCTTGATAAGGTTATTACGTTACCTTCTGAGTGGGAATGCAAATGTTAGCGCTATACAGGCCTTCTTAAGTACCAAGCCCAACACTGACAGCTAAGATACCCGAACTATCTGTTTACCTTCTTCCGTAGAATACAAGAAACAGGCTATTTAGGATTCAAAATGTATCATTTGGCATTCATATTCATACTGCAGGAACATGACCAATCATTCATATCCTCATATGAATTTTTCTGTGGGATGCAGTACTGAGCTCTAGGTTCTGGGGGACGTCGTATCTAGAACTATCCATGGAGGATGGTGCAGTGCACTTTAAAGGAATTCAGACTTATGTCGAGGCATTCATAATTGCACGTGTAGATTAAATCCCGTTGCAGTGGCTACATGGATTAACCGGACATAGGCTTGGCATGGATATGGGTTTGTGCCTGACCACGGATGGATCGAGTCAAGACGGTAAATGCTTAATCTATGCATAACACCCTTTCTGTGTGCATTGCGTCCGGGTGCAAAAAGGGGCATTTTATGCTCAATTTCCTTTACCCTTTTAAAAATCGAGGGTTCGGTCGGGGTGCATGGTACCGATGTCCAATAGACGTAGAATCAAGTGTTTGCTCTCGGAGTTATGCTCCTTTAAACTACTGCGAACTTCTACTCCGTAGTGCGGCCATAGTGGGGCTTCAGTAGTTCAATGACAATAAAATGGAAAGGACGGTAACATTTTCCGTAGGATTTCGAAACCGATGGGTGGATGACGGTTAGGGATGAATCGACCTGAATGGTCGTGCCTGCTCTGCCCCCCTCCTTGCACGTGACATTGGCCCCTAATGACTAAGGATCTGCTTATTCAGAATGACACCTCAGGCGGCAATGGGCCAGCCGAAGCCTTGTCGGCCCAGAAGATCAGGTGCCTCCGTTTGCAACCTCAAGTTGATCGATGGAAATGACAGCAGTTGCCCCGTGACAAGTCAGGCAGAGTCTTGCACGCCGTCTTGTTAATCCCAGCACATTGTGGGCAACCTCCACGTTCTCTTGTTTTGCTCGTTCTCTTTCCCTCTCTCTAACTCGACCTGCACGAAGAGCCGACTTTTAAACCCCCTCCCTCCTCCACCTTCGTCCCTATGACATTCTCCTCCCGGCGCCCGTATCGGAAGTGACAAAACACTGGTTATCTCTGAGGACTATTCACTTATGGCCGTGAACTGACAGGGGAGGATCAAAGATCTGGAATATTTTAATCGCGGCCGAAATGGAGGATAGCAATATTCTTGGTGAGGATCTGCCGCTCCCACCGGCACGCCTTTTTGAACGGCTGGCGCATTTGCCAGGATACACCTGGGACCAGTCAATCGAACCATTCCATTCAACTTATAACCACTGGCATGTCTATGGACTTCGTCATTCTGTCGAATCCGATGTTTCTACCCCCGCCGCAACCTCGTCCGGACCGTCTAGTCTAGCGCGTAACTCCCCGCGAACCGAATCTCGTCCACCATTCCGTCACCACTGGAGGAGTAGCCTGAGCGAATCTAGTAGTGAGCTGTCGTTATCTCGAGGCGAGCATGAACCTATATGGGTTCCGGTGATCGCGCGGGTCTCGTCTCACGTGGTGAGACTCGAGCGCGAATTCCACATGCTAAGGTCGATCATGCAAACCTCCGATCCGGACTGCACCCACACCATTCGACCGATTGACCTCATACGATTGCCGCGGGACCCCGGGGACGCTGGCCCTCTGTTGGTGGCCATCTTTGAGTCCCCAGGTCCGAACATGCTCCGCGAGCTGGTGGCCTTTGGGCCTGCCTGGTTCGCAGCGGGCAGTAGGACTGACAGTACCGATTCGACTCCCGGAGAGCAGGTCTCTCTTTCGATATTCCTGGATTTTGCAATTGGCGCCTGTGACTGCTTAGAGCTCTTGCACTACGGACTCAAAACCGTCCACGGCGAAATTCGCGGCGACGCGTTCCATTTCAATCGCGAAGGACGATCCGTGATGTTGATAAATACGGGAAACGGGGCGAGATCATTCGATAACATCTTGAGCGAGGGCTGGTCGTCTCTCTCCAGAGAGCTCGGGGTCAAGAACAAGCTGCAGTTCATTGCACCAGAGCAGACCGGGAGAATGCCCACGGAACCGGATAGCCGCACCGATATCTACGCCCTTGGTGTCCTATTTTGGACGATGCTGGTTGGGAAGCCGGCCTTCACTGGAAGCGACCCGGTTGAAGTTGTGCAGAATGTTCTGGGCAAGAAATTACCTCCGGTTTCGGCGAAGCGCATGGATGTGCCCGATGCAGTCTCAGCCGTGATTCAGAAGATGACCCAGAAGGCGGTTAACGAGCGCTACCATACTATATCCTCTGTGAAACGTGACCTGGCGCAGATTTCTGAACTACTCGGTGACGGTGATAGTGAAGCCTTGAAAGACTTCCAAATTGCTCAACGCGATGTGTCATCTTTCTTTACTCTTCCGTCCCGCATGTTCGGACGCCGAGAAGAATATGATAAAATAATCAGCGTGGTTGAAAAGGTCCACCGGCGCCAGCAGTCGGCCTATGTCAAGGCCATTGCGCAAACGCCTAGCGGAGTTGGCTCTAACTCCTCAATGTCAGATGGGCGCGTTGATAGTTTCGAGGTTGCTTCAGTCTCAAGTGACTCCGGCTCATTTAATCTGAGAACAACCTCCAATGGAGCCGCCTACAACCTTGGACGTGTCTCTACTCACGAGTCTCTCCATAGTACCGAGTCATCGCTGTCAACCCCAAGGCCAGGCATTACTTCACACAAGGCCAAAAGTCCAGTGGAATCGCGCGCATCCTGGGAAAATGCAGATCGCGACAGCTATCCGTCTATCGGCACAAACACTCATACACATGCGGATTCTCATGGGTCAGGTACTAGGCACAAACCTACAAGCAAGCCACGGCGCACGGGTAAATGCGAGGTCATCACTCTGAGTGGCGTTGCTGGCATAGGAAAAACCGATCTGCTGAATCGTGTTCAGCCGGCAATCCGCAAACTTGGTTATATTGGGATTGCACGGCTGGACCGTGCTAGGAGGGTACCATTCGAGCCTTTCGCGAAAATACTTGCGAGCCTCTTGCGTCAAATATTCTCAGAGCGTGATGTGACAACCGACTACCACAACAATGTGCGCATGGCATTATTGCCAATGTGGCCTACCTTACACCGGGTCTTGGAACTTCCTGAGCAATTAATGTCGTCGGGAGGAAATGATAAGCAAATTTCTCCCAAACTCTCTGCTGCGCAGCACATCTTCAAGGAGGTTTCCACCAAAGGAGAACCGTCTAAGCGTATCGCACTCCCCGCACTTGACGGTGGACAGAACCCAGTGGATTTCTTTTTGTCCAATGCAGCCTCGAAGAACATGCGTCTCATGGAAACTTTTCTTGAGATTCTCAAAACATTGTCCCAATATAGGTTGATCTGTGTATGCGTCGATGATTTGCACTATGCGGACGACGAGACTCTCGAACTGGTTTTGAATATTATGAAGGCAAAGATACCTTGTGTGCTCGTGCTCGCGAGCCGCAATGCCGACCTAGAGAACAAGGCTATCAAATCTCTTTTTGAGATAGACAATCCTAGCGTTTCCAGGGTTGTATTGAAGCCTCTTGGGGAAGACGAGATCATGCAAATAGTAGCCGCTACAATGCACCAAGACCCCAACCCCATGCTGACGCCTCTGGCAGCCGTCATCCAGGAGAAAAGTGTAGGGAATCCATTCTATGTTCGAATGATGTTGGAGACTTGTTACAGCAAGAATTGCATCTGGTATTCGTGGAAAAACTCAAGATGGGAGTTTGACCTCGATCGAATCTTCACGGAATTTGTGGCTCCTCGTTATGGCGAAGGCCTTGGGCTTGGTTTCATCACAAGGCGTCTCCAGGAATCCCCGGCAGCAGCCCGGTCCATACTCGTCTGGAGTGCTTTGTTGGGTAGCCCGTTTGCCTTTTCTTTGGTACAAAAACTCCTCACTAGCGAGTTCTTGTATTCCAGTGATGACGACGAAGCCGTGGACCTCACATGTCCGCAGAATGTGAATCTGATCAGGCAATCGGAGGCCAACATCGTCGTTGGTCTCCAATATCTGGTCCAAGCAAACCTCGTCATCCCTGGGAAAACCGATGATGAGTTCCGGTAAGCACCTTTTTCAACCTCCTTTCCACCCAAATCTGTGGCCACATGCTAACAATACCCAGGTTTGCAAACGATAGAATTGCCCAGGCAGCTGCGTCGTTGACGGAGGGTCGCAATGTGGAAAAGATGCATTTCATAATCTCTCAGGCGCTGATGAAATACTACCATGACGGCCGTAGTCGCTATTCCATGGCTCGTCACGTCGGTCTTGCCTCCCGCATAATCAAGTCTCGTGTGGTGCAGAGGCTTGACTACCGGAAGATACTTTGGGATGCTGCACAGACTGCCGCTCAATCTGGTGCACGACCGACTTCTCTTTGGTATTTCCGCCACTGCATCGCTCTTCTCCAAGACAGCCCCTGGGACGATAACAACACCGATGTGTACTATGACGAGACTTTGCGCCTACACATCGCGACCGCTGAAATGTCATGGTCTCAAGGCCACAATCCCGAAGCCCTTGATTTACTCGATGAAGTTCTAAAATACGGAAAGACCGCTGTCTGCAAGTCGCGAGCCTGGATTGTGAAGGCCAAGATCTATGCTCAGATGGGCAAACACCCCTTATCAATGGATTCCCTGCTCACTTGTCTGGATGAGCTCGGCGTGCACCTTCGAGAGTCTACGACTTACGAGGAATGTGATGCCGCTTACAAGCACCTCAAGAACTATCTAGAAAAGACAGACCTGGAGGCCACCGTTCGCAAACCTATTAGCAAGGATATCAATGTAATCACCATCGGTGCAGTCATGGCCGAGGCGATGGCCGTCACATATTGGGATGACGCTTTGACCTTCTACAGAATGGCTATTGAGATGATGAATCTCCACCTTTTCAAAGGTGGCTTTGTGCAGATCTCAATAGGATGTTCTCACCTTGCCATGGTTTCTTTCAGCCGTTTCAGAGACGTGAATCTTGCTGTAAAGCTCAGTGACCATGCACTAGATCTTCTTGAGCGCTGCCCCGAACCCTGGACGCAAAGCCGGGGCTCAGTTGTTCACAACCTTTACGTCAGTCATTTGCGAGTCCCTCTTTCATCGACACTTCCTGCGCTTGAGGCCTCCGTAGAATCGTCGCTCTCAATTGGGGATCCATATATCACGCTGATCAGCCTTTCATCGATGGCAATGACACGGCTTTACCTCGGCCATGACATGACTCAACTAGAAGGCTTCTGCAACGAAAACCCGGAGGATGTCCCGGAGTGGGTGCATGATACCCGTGGAGGTGCTAGTCTTGTCGCAGTCAGGTCAGTTTTCTTGTGGCTCATAAACCAAAGATTAAGCACTAACCGATGAATTATCGCTTATAGGCAAGTCGCGCGCGCTTTGCAAGGGAAGACTGCCTATCGTGATCCAGAAACTGTCATGTCTGATGAGCACCATCGGACGAGTGAGTACATTGATTTCTTGGACAAGAACACCAGCAACGCCGATCGTCCTCGCGATATCTATTGGGGATTGGCTATGATCCCTCTATTCATATACGGGCATCACACCAAAGCCATAGAGGTAGGAGTTCAAATGATGGATACCATGCCGAGGCTGTGGTCTGCTCGCGTAGCATACATTGTCTATTTCTACCTGTCGCTTTCTCTCCTCACCCTGAACAATGATTACCCTACCCGTGGATACCTTGATGGGAACCTGAAGACGATTTTGAAGTATAAGGCCGAGGTTGATCTTGCACGGTCCGCTTGCGATGCAAATTACGGAATGTGGTCGTTGATATTAGAAGCTCTTGTCTTTGAAGTCCGAAACGACCATACATCTGCGATCCAAGCATTTGAGGTAAGCTGAGTGTGACAACATCTTCGCGCGAGTGCAGAAGTTAACCCTTGCTAGGCTGCTATAGATCACTGTCAAATCCATGGGTGGCCACTTGAAGAGGCCCTTGCTCTAGAATTGCACGGTATGATTCTCACTTGTCTTTGGTTGTTATGTTGTTTACATGCTAAGAATGAATCTAGGTGAATTCTTAATCCGACGTGGCGCTAAAAGAGCGGCACGCTCTGTGATGCAGGATGCGATTGCTGCATGGGCTGCCATTAGTGCCGTTGGCAAAGCCGCTCAATTGACTGAAAAACACGAATGGCTTCTGAAAACTGCAACTTCTTCAAGGACTGCTGACATTGGATGTCAGACCGTTGACTCACTCCTGGGGATCAATCGCAGCACAGGTCCAGAAAACATGGATGTCAGTCAGAACGTGGAGGAGGACGATAGGAAACAACGCTGGATAGAACAGAATGGGGTCACTACCGGCGAACGTTCGCTTGACATTTCAAGTGTTGGTTTGGGTAGGTTCTCGTTGTTTCTCGCCCTCACCAGGTCAACGATGTCGTTACTTGGGGCTAACACAACAGCAGATATTATCGACCTGTCAAGCATCCTTGAATCCAGCCAAGTGATGTCGTCCGAACTACAAATCGATAAGCTTCTTACCAAAATGATTGAGATGGTTCTAGAATCTTGCAACGGCTCGGACTTTGCCGTGATTGCAACTAATTTTGATGACAACTTCACAGTTGCAGCGGCCGGGGATGTCGAAAAGGGACAAAAGGCTTTCCTCGATGGCCTTTCCTTCTCCGAAATTGAGGATAAAATGGCACAACAGATCTCTCATTACGTCATGCGAACTAGGGAAGAGGTGCTTGTTCACAACGTTCTCGAGGATGAGCGGTTTTCCAATGTCAGCGAAGCCTACCAGGCTCGATACCCGCTGGGTAAATCTGTGATCGCATTGCCTATCATGCAGGCCGAGCATCTACTCGGTGTCATTCACATCGAGGGTAAACCCAATTCATTCACCCAGCGAAATCTTGTGGTCCTTCACTTGCTCTGCAACCAAATCGGCATATCATTGTCCAACGCGCTGCTCTTCCGCGAAGTCCGCAAAGTTAGTGCAACCAACGCATCTATGGTCGAGGCTCAAAAACGAGCTCTTGCTCAGGCCCGTGAGGCAGAACAAAAGGCCAAGGTGGCGGAGGCAGAAGCCAAACACAATGTCAAGTTGAAGGAAGATGCAGCCAAGGCCAAATCTATCTTCCTCGCCAACATCTCTCATGATCTCCGTACCCCAATGAATGGTGTCATTGGGCTGTCTGAGCTTCTCAAAGGCACTGTTCTGAATAAGGAGCAAGACGAATATGTCGAGTCCATTCGTGTCTGCGCAGACACTCTGCTTACCCTCATCAATGACATTCTGGACTTCTCGAAGTTAGAGGCCGGAAAGATGAAGATTTCTACCGTGCCCCTCAACATCAAGGAAACCATATCCGAGGTCGTTCGTGCGCTTCGATATACTCACCGGGATCGAGGCTTAGACACAATCGAGGATTTAGAGAAGGTTCCACCAGATCTTGTGGTACTGGGCGACCCTGTCCGCTTACATCAAATTTTCATGAATCTCCTCAGCAACAGCTACAAATTCACCCCCAAGGGCTCCGTGACCGTTCGGGCAAGGGTTACTAAAGAAGGCAAGGGCCGCGTGCGTCTTGAATGCGTTGTGTCGGATACCGGAATCGGAATCCCAGAGGAGCAGAAATCTCGACTTTTCAGACCGTTCTCGCAGGCAGACAGTTCGACAGCAAGATCGTACGGCGGAAGCGGGCTCGGCCTCAGCATTTGCAAAGCGATCATTGAAGATGTCTTGGGCGGTGCTATCTGGCTTGATTCCACCCCAGGTGTTGGCACCATGGTCACTTTCCACCTGTCTTTCAATAAGGCCAAAAACCTTGCCTCGAAAACCCCATGGCCCAAGGCACTGAATCAAGGGGAGCCTAATGCGGTCCGCACTCCCGTCATTCGCGACTTGACCATGGTTCCTCGAGATCAGATCCGAGTCTGCATCGCCGAGGATAACCCGATCAATCAGAAAATTGCCGTCAAATTTGTCACCGGCCTCAACTTGCAGTGTGAAGCGTACAGTGACGGTCGTCAGGCGGTGGATGCCCTACGTGCTCGCTCAAGCGAAGGGAACCCCTTCCATGTTGTTCTGATGGATGTGCAAATGCCCACACTCGACGGCTACAACGCAACGCGGGAACTGCGGCAAGACCCCGACCCCAACGTCAACGAAGTACTCGTTATAGCTATGACCGCTAGTGCCATTGAGGGTGATCGAGAAAAATGCATCAGCGCCGGAATGAACAATTACCTCCCCAAGCCGGTTCGATCGACCGTTCTGAATGAGATGTTAGATCAATACCTGGCACCGGTGCCACCGTATACACGCACACGGCTTTCGATACGCGAAAGATCAAGTGTCAGCAATGAAAGTGGCACCCCGGGTAGCTCTGCCTCTTCTGGATCGGAACAAGTCATCGCGTTGACCCCGAACGAGGAAAATACACCAGAACAGAATCCCTCCGGCACTACATGAGGACTTTCCCGCGGAGCTAACATGACCGGACAGCTTTGCGGTGACGGACACGGGAGAAGAGCAAACCTTTTTGCTGGCCCTATATGAAGTTGGTCCAAGACCATATTTTTTTGTACTTTTTCTGGATTTTCTCAATCCTAGTGCGTGTTTGGCAAAAGGCATGATCCTGATTGCGATCGTCAATGTCTGTCTTTTTCGATGCCTTGCTTCTACTTATTTACATTGACGATGACGAAGGATATGAATGACGACTTTTGGAGTTGAGAAAGGCATTTGAAGACGAGCTGATGCGCAAGCAAGATGGTCAGCGATCGCTGTTGGTTTCCTGATGGACCTTTTGGTATACTCGTCCCAGAGACTGATTGGGCTCGATCATTTTGGTTATCGACCGTAGGTCGAGATGAAGACCATGGCTGATCTTGACTTGCTCGTTATCTTTATTTCCCCCATCATTATTTCTGATCTCCGTGTGTATTTCAGCAAAAATATCCCCAGGGCGTTTGTGATTATTGTTCAAAGACACTAGGAACATACCTGTGTGGCGCGCTTTGAAGGAGATTTTCTCATATTTCCTCCCCTTTTATTTTGCATTTTCTGCATTGTTTGATGCAGTGGTGATTTTTCTTTTCCTTGTGGACTGTATATTCTCTGGTTGTGATTGGATAGACAGTGATGGATAGGGCCGTATAAATGTTATTTGAATCTTTTGTGGATGTGTGGGAGTAGGACTTTAGAATTGCATGTTCATTTCAGATATTTTGAAGAATAACAGAAGGAAAGTAAGAAAGGAATAACAGACTATGTACGGTGGAAGTGTCAAACATAATGGCACAGGTGATCCCTTTTACTTATTTTTTTCAAAATCCGTCTCCGTCCTGGCGTGTCATTAAGGTCGTAGGAGTCATCGAGCTTCTACACTCGCAAGGCCAGCCGGGCAGCATCGGCCGCAGCGTCTCTCTTTCCAAAGATACGGAACCGCTTGACGCCGCCATCCGGCACGAGAGTCAGCTTGACGTGCGTGAACGTGCGAGTGTCCTCGCCTCCGGCGGCCAGGTCCGCTCCCTCGAAGACATGCTCCGTATCCGCCTGGCACGGCTTCTCGCCCTTGATCAGCTCCGCCCACCCGGCGTGGTCGTGCGCCGGCACTTCGCCGTCGGCGACGCTCCCCGCAACCAACCCATGCACGCGCACCGTGCGGGGGAAGTTTCCCCGGAAATCCTTCGTGTCCACCACGATCTTGCTGACGGAGCCCGGGAGACCCAGCTTCACGATGGCCCAGTCCACGTGGCCCGGGGTACGAGACCGCGCCGTCTCCCATCCGTCGCCCATGTCCTTTCCGCGGCCGGGAAGCAGCAGGTTCGAGCAGGGGGTGAAATGCTGGTCGGACGCGCCCAGAGCCAAGCCGCCCAGCAGCGCCGACGACAGCTCCTCGACGGGGGCCTGCGACGCCGCGGCAGCAGCGGCGGCCGGCGGGATGGCCTGGCCGTAGAGACGGAGTCTGCCGAATCCGCCGTCCGGGTACATCAGCAGGCGCACATGAGTGTAGGGCTTGGGGTTGGCGGGGTCGTAGTCGTTCAGCTTCCAGGCGCGACGCTGCTTAGGACCGCAGGGCTGAGCGGGCAGGATGGTGGACCAGCCGGCGTAGTTGGGGTTTGCGATCTCGGCGTCCGATACGCCACTGTCGGCCGGGGCGTAGGTGCCTTGGAGCTCGGCCTTCTCGCCGTAGTTGCCGACGAAGAAGCCCGTGTCCACCTCCACGCCTTGGATCGTGCCAGCTGCCACTCCCAGCTTGATCACGGCCCAGTCGTAGGGCTCGGGGTTGTGGCGACGCGTCTCCCAGCCATCGTACCAGGCACCGGTGTGGACGAAGACGCCCGGGCGGTTGATGGGGGGAGTCGGCGTGAGCAGGTTGGAGGCGGCAGCGAAGTACTCGTTGGAGGTAGCCAGCACCTTGCTGTTCAAGCCGGACGAGGCCAAATTGGTGGTGTGGGCGAAGACTTGGTCGATCTCCTCCGCGGGGATGTAAGTGAGCTTATCGGTGCTGGTGGGGACCGCCATGGTGAGTGTATGGTATATTGGAGAAAACCGGGGAATTGGAGGTTTGGAGAATTGAAGTCAAGACGATTGAAGAAAGTAGATGTTAAAAAAAGAAAGGAGACAGAGCTGCAATTGAAGGGAAAGTCGAGGCAGCAGATGAAGGTGATTAAATAGATCACGACTTGAACGATAGCGATAAGCCCCTCCGGCTCCCGTGATTTCGATTACTCGATGCCTTCGCTTCATCTTTTCCCTCCTCCCTTCTTTCTCCTCTTCTTCTCCCTCTTTCGCCTTCCTCGCCTTCCTTCTTTCTCCGATCTTCATCTCTCGTTGCCCGCTCGTCATTTCCCATTACCAAATCGCAATCCATTGTACACCTATACACCTCCCCATCCCCCTCCAATGAGTGTCGCATATTCTCCCCCAACTGGGGCCCCACTGACCCAGAGCGACGTCTTTCTGGCTCGGAGGTCTCCGATAACCGCACTTTCCCGCGCTCGACGTTCTCTTCATGAGGGGGGAAATGCTACTAGCGATGAGGAATGAGACTCGGCAAAAAAAAATCAAAACAACGCTTTCTCCAAAACCAATACTACCACGCATCCTCAAGCCCATGACTCACCGACCGTACCAGGTCTTTTGCGTGATACATCATACATGTCGGCGTTCCCCCTCTGGTACTTTCGGGACCAGATGATATGACCCGCCAAGGGTAGGTAATACATTGCCGGGGTGACAAGGCCGTCGAAAGGTGTCGCGTGTTCAGAGTAGGACATCGGGAGGAGACAAGAGGGCCTCAGGGTCAAGTTGCAGACCTGCCGTCTACCACTCGGACGGCTGTGTAGCGAGTCCCAGTGTACCAATTACTACTGTTGCAGTGTCTCCCAGGCCGGTTGTGTGACATGCACAACGTCTCCTTAGGTATTTGGGATCGAGGCAACAGCGTCTGGCCCGCATCAATGGACTCCGGCCGATGAGAATTGGACCGCGCAGTCTGCACCCTCACACCTGATCATCTGACGCGAGACAAGAAAATGACAAGGCCGTTGATAGGAGCAAGATTCTGGACCCGATTTGCTGTCCTGTCGGATCTGGCGACGGGAAAGAAAAAGATGTCTGGTTATGAAGACAACTGCATTACGCCTAAATCTAAACTAACGCCAGTGATGCTGATCGCTCACTCAATGGCTTTCCATGATAGCCGTGCTTTTGCTTTTGTTTCCCCTTCCTTCCGGAGGACCATCCCGTCCTGTCTGCATGCATACCATTCCGCGCTCGACCATCACGACGTTTTTGCCAACTCCTCTAGCGTTTTGAATCGCCATTCGTATTGCGCCAGTTGGCTCTTCTCGGCCGGCGAGAGGCCACCCCCCTTTTCAGTCATCTCCTTCTCAATCTGCTTTAACATCTCCCAGCGCTTGATAATCCGGGCTTGGTGATCGGATATAGAGAGAAGGTTGTTGTCTCTCGAGGCCTTCCGGGCTTCGATCGTGGAGTGGTAAGAGAGCTTAGCATGGAACAGGGCCATATCGGATTCATCGTATTTGACCCCGCAAGGTTCGGGCAAAGAAGTGTGCTGGATTGTTTTTGGGGACATGGTAGGCTGTGACGTTTTGCCGAGTGATAAAAAGAGAGAAAGACGCAATGCGAATGCGAAGTGAAATGACGGCTTTCTAAATAGCTGGTTGCGACAAAAGGTTCCTTTTGAACCGCACACTCAAGGCCAATGAGGGTTTAATTGCGCGGTTTCAAAGTGCTCTATATAGGTTGTCAAGCCTGAAACCAAAAGAAAAGGTGAAGTTTCTATATGCTATCTTCACCAATTGAGGCAGGAATAGATGACTCGAGAAAGACAGAGAGAAAGCATGCATGAACAGCTCTGAGGAGGAGGTAAGAGAACCGAAAAGAGAGCAATAGAGCGAGCACGAAAAATAGAAAATGAACTGAATGGACCTGAAGGGGATCTTCCTTTAATAAAGCTTGACGGACTTCATGTATCGCAAAGGGCCCTCCGTGGCTCTGCCTGGGTGATACCGCAACATGCCACCGGACGCATCTTATACCAATGGCATGACAAAAATAGAGCAAGGAGACGTGGTCAAAGGATGGCATCCTTTCTTCACCGTATGTGCTGTTCTGTGTCCAGTCCGTTTGTGCCATTGTCTTGTGATTATCGTCAAAGACCAATCCCCTGGAGAAGAAGGGACTCGTTTGTCCCTATTGGAAAGATTCTGTGAAACCAATTGGATAACACCGACGCAACCAGCATCGATATGGGGACTGGCCACTGGCAATGATAGTCGGTGTGGACCGAATGCTGCTGGAAACGACGCCATAGCCCTTCTGATATGGCCACCATGACGTTCGGGTCCCATTCACTGCAAATGGTGCTCGCATATGTACGGCCTACAAACACACATGGGGTTATACCAACTATTACCTGAAGACCTGCCACAAACATAATGGAGGCCATGCGCTTCTCCGTTACACCGTCAACAAAGAAAAGCGAAAGGAGGCGAGAGAGCAGAAGAGTGCCGTCCAGACGAAAATAGCCAACAATCAATGTTTCGATGCCGTCGTGCCATCTCCATATGATTGGTATTCTTCTCGGTCAGTCAGTGCCTCAGTTCCATTCAGACAAAGAAAACACTCGGATGTCATAGCCTCGTCCCCCCTTAGCCCCCTTCTCGTCTACCAAAAAAAGAAACCTGGGGAAAACCCAGAACATTCTCCTTTTATTTTTTCTCTTCTTACGTCCTATTTTTTCCCCTGACAAACATTCTATGTGATTCCCTTAATACTTTTATCAATCAATCTTTCACTATAATCCCCTATTCGTGGTTGCCTTCCGATAAAATGTACGTAGCCGCGCGTCGTTGTGTGACGCTGAGGCAAGTGGGAGGTTGGACTTTTGCTTTTGCGCCGGATTCTCTCTGAGTGACTGAGTGACTGACCTACTATCAGGTATCAGGTGGCAACTGACATGTTACCTACGGGATTCAACTCTTCCCAGCGGACCGACCCGTTCGTTATCCAGTAATAGTTGGTTCCAATGACTTACTCGCAACCCTTCACTATCGTCAAAGGAACCAAACGACCCCTAGAAAAAAAATCGCAAATTAGAAGAAACGATGAAACAGAACGTCCATGTCAAACAGAACGTCCATGTCAAACAGAGCCAACGTGGCCCCGAATTAAAGTCGTTCCGTTCCATTCCATTCCTCCAGCTCCGAAATCCAAATCCCCCAATGCAGAAGTGGTTCATGCTTCCATCCGACGCTGATCAGGTGGGCCTAACTAGTTCCCTACTAGTTAGGTCAAACGGCCTCCTTGCGTATTCTGTTTCGTCTTCTGCTGTAAGCCAGTAGTTAGTATCCACTGTTCGCCTCCCTCCCCTTGAGCATGCATACAGAGTAGGTGCATCGGATCGTTTTTTTTTTTTTTTTTTTTTTTCTTTTTGCCCCCCCTTGTCTTTCGGTTGTGTTGGCGATTCCGTAGTCCCGATATACATGCGGGCTTGATTTAGGGCGCTTTGATCTTTTTTTTTTTTTTTTTTCGCCGTTCTGCCCTCTTTTTATTGGGTGTTTGTTTCTGGCTGTCTGGCTGTCTGTATCCAGGTCTTGATCTAGAACGGGATCGGAATGTCGGGTTTCGGTTGAGGGTATACATTGAGCCGACGAAGGGGGTGTGTCCGGTCTTGGGGTGTTGCCACTTCCCTAGTTCCCTTTTTGTGGCTTCTTCGTTGCGTGAGGTTTGCTTAGAAGGTGTGTCTGTTGAGGTGGATACTACTGTTGGGGTAGATGAAACTGCAATATACACTGGGCTTGCAGGAACCTGTTGTCTAGCACTGTAGGGGTCGGTTGTTGGGCCTGAGGTGAAGTTGTACATCCTCTTTCTCAATGCTTATACTACATATCGATCATCCTGATTGACATCTTTGTGAAAGGCACGGGGAAGATCGATAGATAATCTGGCTAATCACTGCAGCTATCAAGCAGAAGGACCGTAATCATAAACATAAACATAATCATGATCATGATCATAATGTATCATTGGATAACGAAACATGAAATCATCAAAGGCGATTGAGAGTAACCCGCATAACAGATCCTCCATGGTCGTTTCTCTCGTACCACTCCAGTCCTACACCTGCCCGTTTTCCCACTCTTTATGACACTCCCTATCCCCTCACATCATCACGATCCGCCTGAGCTCTCTCTTTCTTCGCCTTCTGAATATCCAACGACATCTTCACCGGCGCCACGCCCGGCGTCTCAAACACGGCATCAATCTCCTCCAACGACAGTCCCTGCGTCTCAGGGAAGACAAAATACGACAAGACCAGCTGGATGCAGTTGTACGCAATATACACGACCCAGATCTTGTATCCGATCTTCTCGATCCCCACGGAGATACCGTATGTCTGGGCCGCGCCAGCGCCGCCCTGGATGAGCGCGTACAGACCCATGCCCTTTGCGCGCAGCGCTAGGGACAGGAGCTCGACTGGGTAGAGGTTGTGCATGGTGGCGATCAGCAGCGCCGAGAAGGTCTGGTATAGGTAGATCCAGAGAATGGTGAGGGCCGCGGCGGCTTTGTTGCCGGAGAGATTGTACTGCCAGGACGTGATGGTCACGGCGGTCTGGAAGATTATCATGGTGGCGAGGCCGGAGAAGATCAAAGTGCGTCGTCGGAATCGGTCGATTATGATGGCCCCGACGGCCGTGAAGACGAAGTATGTTGCCGTGGTGCCGAGCGTGATGCCGAGTTGTTGCATGGTGCCTTTCACGCCAATAGTCTCGAGGGCAGGAACCATCTGGTGTCACGTCGTTTATGTTTAACATTCTTGTGTCTTTGCGCTTGGGGGACGGGGAAGGGGAAGAGAAGGACAGGGACAAGGGTTGTTCGGATGTCTCGGAGAAAGAAGGGGATAGAGGTAAATAACTTACATAGTAGGTGATAATTCCTCCGCCATTCCATTGCTGGAAGACCGAGTACAGGAAGAGCACGAAAAGTCGGTATCGGACGACTTTTGTGCAAAACACCCGGTAGTCCCAGAAGCTGCGGAAGCCGGCCCGGTCGTTCTCAATGGACCCTTCGATCTGCGAAACGACCATGTCGACGATGGGCTCATTCAAGTTACCGCTCGTGGTATGATATCGCGCGACAACCCTTCGCGCTGCGTCCGGTTTCCCGCGCATGACGTAGTAACGGGGCGACTCGGGGGTCAGGAAGAAGATGGTCGCACAAACAATGGCGGGAAACAGGGCTTCCAGAAGGAGTGGAATCCGCCAGCTCCAGTTTCCACTCATCTTGGAGAGTCCAATCATGGCGGCCGTCATACACAGACTTCCGACTTGGAAACAGGCCCCGAAAATGCCGACCATCAAACCCCGAAGATGCACCGGCGCAATCTCGCCCATGTACTGCGAGCTGGACAGCAGCGCGGACCCGAATCCCATCAGAAACCGGCCTGCCATGAACATGGACAGGTTGGTCGAGCAGCCTTGCAAGATGGCGGCCGCGATTACAAGGGCATTCCCTATGAAGTTGATGCCGCGTCGGCCAACAACGTCCGACAGGGCCAGAAATGGCGCACCACAAACGTTTCCAATGTTCATCAGCGCGTTAATTAACCCGTACGTTCCGCCACTGGTCCCAAACCCGAAGTAGTTGTGCCATGCGTCGTAGGCATTAATGCCGCTGATGACGGCCCAATCCACCCCGTACCCGGCTTGGTTACATCCCTGGACGAAAAGGATGAGGAAAAGGCGAAACCCGGCCCATGACCGAAGATTCAATGCTTCCTTGGACGCCTTCCATAGGTCTTCCTCCGTTAGGCTGGCAAGAACCGCTTCCTCGATATGCTCAGGTGCCTTCTTGATGTCGACCTCCGCCTCGTTCATGACATGCACAGTCTTCTTTGCCATGGTGGGCAGGGTGTGCGGACGTGAAGGAGCTTCTCTCGGATGGATATCGACGTACCACAAGGACTCAGATAGCCGGCCCAAACCACCAGTGCTGGTTACCCTGGGGTTACACAGCTATATGTTTGCACCGGACGATTGTGGTGGCCCGAGCTGTTTCTGTACGACCACCACATGATGGAACTAAATGAATTCCCTGCGTAGACCGTTTTTGCCACGGGACCACTTTCTTTGCCTAGCCCAGAAAAAGCAAAAGAAACTTGCTAAAAAGGCTTCAAAAAACTCCATTCCTTCCGGCTAGATATGGGACAAATTAGCCGTGAAACCGCCTTTCAGGCACATTTCTTTCCTTCCAATGTGGCGTTTTCGACGGGATGTTGATTGGCGTGTTCTGACAGGTAAGGTGGAAAGGGAGGTCTGATCTAGCAGCTTTCGGACCTGTGCAGCACAGACATTGCATGGGCTAATGGTAGGTGATGCGAGGCATTGGCTCCATGTAGCCTCCTCACCTCCTTTCCTTCTCCCCTCCTCAATGGTGTGTTTCTCGTCACAAAGAGAACAGCGTAATTTTGGCGAGTCATTTTCTGCTCCAAGCCTCCTTCTAGCACTATTGAACTGGGAAGAGTCTAGAGCAATATTAGTGCGTTGTATTGATTGGCCAGGCGAAAGGACTAACTCAGATTACGTTCGGGCTAGACATTTGAGACCTTGGGGAAGTGGGGACCACCCTTGCGTGGGTGCAGTCAACTCGAGGCGATGATCCAGTCATTGAGTAGCTCAGATCAGCCGAGGGTTTTGCTAGTCCAAGGAAGAGAAAGCGTCGAGAGCTGGAACGAGCACTCATTCTCAGAGGCAGAGATAGTCCACGAATGGCGGTGGGAAGACGGAGAGGACGAGGCTCTGAAGGGCCGCGAGGGCACATGACCACCTCCGCACTTAATTAATTTCTCTCCAGCGCAACTTCCTTCTTTCACCCCCGCAATATCTGTCCATTCTTCCCATTTGTCCTTTCCTAACGACACCCCGGTCAACGGACCGTTTGCCCGACCATGGATTCTGGTCTCTTCCCAGATTGGATGGCGTCTGGTCTTCGATGCATAAAGGCTCGCATCCGGTCCAGTCGCTTGGTAGACTAAGGGTAATCCAGGTTGCTCGCCATTATGTCCGAACTTTGGTACCAGAGCCCCGCCGGCAGTTGGGATGAAGCCCTACCTGTCGGAAATGGACGCTTGGGCGCTATGGTTTACGGAAGGACAGATACAGAGCTATTACAACTCAACGAAGATTCGGTCTGGTACGGAGGACCCCAGAGCAGGACCCCGACTGACGCTCTTCGTCATCTGCCGCAATTGAGAGAATTGATCCGTAACGGTGACCACGAGGAAGCGGAAAAGCTGGTTCGTCTGGCCTTTTATTCACACCCTATCAGTCAGCGGCATTACGAGCCTCTCGGTACGCTCTTTCTGGAGTTTGGTCATAAGTGGGAGGATGTGGCTGAATATCGACGCTCCTTGGATCTTCGGAATGGCAAAACCCAGGTGCAATATGATTATAAGGGGGTCCAATTCGAACGGGAGATTCTCGCTAGTCATCCGGATGCTGTGATTGCGATCCGCATTCGAGCATCCGAAAGTACTGCGTTTGTTGTGCGCCTCAGTCGGATGAGCGAGCTTGAGTATGAGACCAATGAGTATCTGGATGATGTTAGCACTGATGGTCATCGCATTACCATGCACGCTACCCCTGGTGGACGAGACAGCAACAAAGCTTGCTGTGCTGTTAACATTCGCTGCAATGACCATGGTACTGTGACTAAGATCGGGAATAGCCTTCTGGTAAATTCTCGAGACGTCCTATTATTTGTTGCTGCGCAAACCACGTATCGATGTCAAGATGTCGATCATGCCGTGTATGCGGATCTCGCGGGCGCCATGAGGTTCTCCACCGCGAAAATATGGTCCCGGCATATAAATGACTATTTGTCTTTATATGGTCGCATGGAGTTGATTATGGGCCCAGATGCCAGCGACCTGCCTACGGATGAGAGACTCAAGTCTGCGCACGACCCGGGGCTGATAGCTCTCTATCACAATTACTGTCGCTATCTCTTAATATCTTGCAGTCGAGACGGGGAGAAACCACTTCCAGCAACACTGCAAGGCATCTGGAACCCGTCGTTCCACCCGCCATGGGGCTGCAAATATACTCTGAACATAAATTTGCAGATGAATTACTGGCCCGCGCAGATGAGTAACCTCGCGGAGTGTGAGATGCCGTTGTTTCATCTTTTGCAGCGAATCGCGGAGGCCGGGAAAGAGACCGCGCAGAGGATGTACGGCTGTAGAGGCTGGACTGTACATCATTGTACCGACATCTGGGCCGATACCGCTCCGGTGGACAAATGGCTGCCAGCAACCCTTTGGCCCTTGGGAGGTGCTTGGCTATGTACCCATATCTGGGAGAATTTCCGATTCAATGGCAATAAAACGTTTTTGCGACAGATGTTTCCAGTTCTACGGGGATGCGTAGAGTTCCTTTTGGATTTTCTAATCGAGGACATCTCTGGAAGTTATCTCATCACCAATCCCTCCGTGTCCCCGGAAAACTCGTTCTACGATGCCCACGGGTCCCCGGGGGTTTTGTGCGAAGGATCCACCATCGACATCCAGCTCGTCAATGCAGTACTGGACGACTTTGTGAAATCTATCGAGGTCCTAGGTATTGACGATACTTTGCTTCCAGCTGTTCGCAATACGCAAAAACGACTACCTCCTATGCGCATCGGATGTTTTGGACAGCTACAGGAATGGAACACTGACTTTGCCGAAGTCGAACCAGGCCATCGCCACGTCTCCCATCTCTGGGCCTTGTATCCTGGCGACAGAATCCTACCGGAGAAGACACCTGACCTTGCCGAAGCGTGTTCCAAGACTCTCCAGCGAAGAGAAACCAGCGGTGGGGGTCATACGGGTTGGAGCCGGGCATGGTTGATCAATCTGCATGCACGGCTGCGAGCAGCCGAAAACTGTGCGCAGCATCTAGACCGTCTATTGGCACAGTCCACGTTGCCCAACCTGCTGGACACCCATCCACCGTTCCAAATCGACGGTAACTTTGGCGCTGGCGCAGGGATCCTAGAGATGCTCATCCAATCCCATGAGGAGGGTATTATTCGGCTTCTCCCTGCATGTCCTTCCAGTTGGAGGACCGGATCTCTTCAGGGTGTGCGAGCCAGAGGTGGATTCGAATTGGCGTTCGACTGGAAAGACGGCATGATCCAGGGCTCGGTTGTGGTTCGCTCACTCCTGGGACACAGGACTGTCCTCTATTTCCCCAACGATGGGGCGCGTGTAGAAGTCCAAGGCGAAGGCGTTCATTTAATCAAGGCGCCTAATTAATTAGACCACAATTCAATACACATCGGCAAAATTCCGTCGACTATACCCCTAGGGATTCCATCCTTGTCTGGGCGAAAGCACCGCCTACCCCGCTGGATAATAAATTCCAGTCAATTTAACCGGATGATATTAGCCCACGATGTCACTCGATCTCTCGCCCCTCATCCTAGATGCGGGGGAAATCTGGCTTTTTCGCTGCTATGCTCCCTTTCTTTCTTTCTTTTTTTTTATTTTTCTCTCTTCGTTTTCTCGCTCTCTTCGTTCGATATTGATAAACTATACACTGTTCACTAGACTCAGGTCGTCTAGCAGAGGATACCAAACGGCGCTAAGATGGACCTCGTTGCCGTTCAAGATGTCAAAGGCGCCCTCCGAAGGGACTTCTTCCACGGTTACGCCACGGCGGCGGCGCAGATCGAAGGCGCCTGGAACAAAGATGGCAAAGGCCAATCAATCTGGGACACTTTCAGCCACACCCCGGGAAAGGTCAAGGACGGAAGTACGGCCGACGACACGGTGCGATCCTATGATCTGTACAAAGAGGACGTGGGTCTGATGAAATCGTACGGCGTCAATGCCTATCGATTCTCCCTGTCTTGGTCGAGAATCATTCCCCTCGGTGGGAAAGACGACCCCATCAACGAAAAGGGCATCCAGTTCTACTCCGATCTAATTGACGAGCTTCTCAAACATGACATCACCCCGTTCGTCACGCTGTTTCATTGGGATACGCCGCAGGCCCTGGAGGACCGGTACGGTGGCATGCTAGACCAGGAGAAATTTATTCCGGACTTTGTGAACTACGCACGGGTCTGTTTCGAGCACCTCGGATCGAGAGTGAAGCACTGGATCACCTTCAATGAACCGGGCGTTTATACCCTGGCAGGGTATGCGGCCGGCGTGCATGCGCCTGCTCGCTCGTCCTTCCGTGACCGCAACGCAGAGGGCGACTCGTCCACCGAGCCGTTTATCGTCGCTCATACGGAGCTCGTCACGCACGGCCACGTCTCGCGCCTCTACAAACAGGTGTTCCAGCCCGAGCAGAAGGGGACCATCGGCATCACGCTCCACGGGAACTGGTCCGAGCCGTGGGATGCAGAAGACCCGCTCGATCAAGAAGCGGCCGAGCGCGCTCGCGAGTTCGAGATCGCTTGGTTCGCCGATCCTCTCTACAAAACAGGCGATTACCCAGCCTCCATGCGCGCGCAGCTAGGGGACCGTCTTCCCAAGTTCACGGCGGAGGAGTCCCAGCTCGTGCTCGGCAGCTCCGAGTTCTACGGCATGAACACCTACACATCCTTCTTCGTGAAGCACAAAACCACTCCTGCAGACATCAACGACCACAAGGGCAACGTCGAGATCTTTGACGAGAACAAACAGGGCGTTCCGCGAGGCGAAGAGTCTGATACCGAGTGGCTGCGCTCGTCGCCGTGGGGATTCCGTAAGCTCCTCAATTGGATCTACTCGCGATACCAGATGCCAATCTATCTCACTGAGAACGGCACCACGGCGAAGGGGGAGACTGCGCCCACCCCGGAGGTGCTGAACGATGAGTTTCGAATCAGGTTCTTCGAGGGATATGTGGGCGAGCTGGCGCGCGCAGTCAAGAATGATGGCGTCGATATCCGATCATACTTTGCCTGGACATTTACTGATAATTGGGGTAAGTCGATATCTTGCAGAATTTGTAAATTAAGTTGCTGATCGCTTTTTGTGACAGAATGGGCTGCTGGCTTCAGTGACCGGTTTGGAAGCACTTTTGTTGATTTCGATTCCCCTGAGAAGACACGGTATCCGAAACAGTCAGCTTACTATCTTGACAAGCTCTTCAATCATCTTATTGCGAACACCTGAGAATTCAGCGGATTCTAGAATGCTTGGGATAGGGATCATTAGATAATTCGTTAGAAGCCTCCATGCTTTTCTTCGCTACGTCGTTCTGGCGGAATCCTGGACAGTAATTGCTTGAAGATTAAATGTTTCGAACCTAAACTAGTGGTCGTCTCGAAGCATTCTTAAGAGACTCATCGCAAAATCAAGTTAGGATAGCTTCATCCATGATCCAGTGAGGATCATAGGTTAGTTCAGATAATGAAGACAGGAAATTTGGACAGCGGTTTTTGTTAATGTTAGCATAAATTAAAAGTTAGGGGGAAGTTTTTAAACAAAAGAAAAGATAAGTATTGATTTTTGTACTCTCACAAATTGACAAACGAAATGTGTATAAGCGCGCATGTAGCTCTTAGAAAAGAGAATCAATCTGTTATATAGCCAACGCAAACAAACACAAACAAATGAAACATATATAGGCTTTTTGCACTCTGACAAGGTGACAAATGAGATGTGTATTTAAACGGGCATATAAAACACAGAAAAGCATTGAAATCTGTTGTATAACCAACATAAAATAGCACAAACAAATGAAAGATACATAGAGCTTTTGGACTCTGACAGTTGACAAATGAGATGTGTATATATAAACGCTTATATAAATCACAGAAAAATCAGATTGATCTGCTTTTTAATAAACGTGAACAAACACAAACAAATGACACACACATATAAGACTCAGACAACAAGCGTATAAATCACAGAAATAAAAGTGATCTGACATATAAGAGAGGATAAGGAAGAACATAGGAAAGGCTCTGTATATATATTCCAACGTTCTAGCATTCAGTCAGAATGCACTCTCCCTTCTCATACTGCCGATCATATCTTTTGTTGGACTGCCAGTGCGAGTAACTTGTGACGATAGACACCTTCATAGTTGTTATCAACATGATGATGGATTAACCTAGCGGGTCTCTTTGCGCTCTAATTCCAAGCAAACCCTCCGGCATTGAAGAACAGACCCGCCAGATCAGTCCAGATCTAGATCTTTGGAAATGAAGTATACACACACAGATAAACAGCACGTATTCTTCGCATGTACATAGCACGACATCAAATTGTATCGGATGATCGCTCAAAACGCCCCCATAATGTGCAGGGAAAGACAATGTCAATCCTGTAGTTTACAGCCCCAAAGCCTTTTCCATATGCCTTGAGCACTAATATGCTCACCCATATCAGTTTCAAAGCATTGAAAAAAAGGCATCGCCTCTTCCACAAAGCTCCTTGGGTAGAAATGTGTCTTCGCCTCTCTTGTACCTTCTAGGAGACCAGTTGGAGCTTTCCGGTCAGCGATCCAAGTAAGGGAGCAAAAAGGATGAGGCTGTAAACAGACAAGGAAAGAGCACTCACTCCCTCACACACCCACTAATTGATCCACCGAGGAATATGGCTGGAATGACCAGTGCCATTCCCACCATGCGGTCTCCCAGGAGGATCCGGCGCAAATCTCACATGACATCCAGAGGAGGGCCGCGGCCAGGCAGGGGCAACATAACCTGAGGAAAGACCCGGCAAGGTCGGGCTCGGGAGCCGGGTCGCAGGCATAGAAGCACGAATGGTTTGGGCAAGTTGTCCGCCCCGATACATCGCTCTTGTATTCCCTGGATTCGAGGGCAGCAGGATCCCACGCGGGACGTTGACTGCTGGGGGATAGGGATCTTGAGATCGCGATGAAAGAGAGCCGAATTCGCGCCTGTACATGACCCATGGGTCTTCATGGAACATGCAAGGGTCGTTTTCGGCGACCACACCGCGCAGCACGAGCAGACGACCCATGTGGCGCTCGAATGTGACGAGGTCGTTGCCGTAGGGCCGGTGCGCGACCCCGTGGTGATCTGTGTGTCGCATGTAGATGGCTTGTAAAGCGTTGAGGGTCGAGGAGATTTCGTTGGTGGCTCGCGCCATGGCTGTCGCTTTCTCACTTTTTTTTTCTTGGCTGGTAGCAACAGAAGAGATGGGTTATAAGGCGGAGAAGGGGAGGGAGGTAGCGGGGAGATGAGTAGAAGAGGCGGTTGGGGCTGTGGCAGTCGACAAATCCATTCACTTGATACTGGCTGGCTTTTGGTTATCTCTGCATAAAAATGAGCAGGCGAGCTCTTATACTAGGGGTAATTATAGACGTTTGCGATAGATGCCGTTGAGTTGAAGGAATTTCCCTCGAGAGTGGAAAGGAACGTTGTCTTTGGCCCAGTGTTAGAGGTCAAAGAAAACAAGAGATATACAGATTGGATGAATTGAGATAGTGGAGGATCACTTCTGGCATTGTATGTTGATTGTTGATGTTGGCGTTGTTGACAATGTTGACGATGTTGATGTCTTTCGTGCTCTTCTATACTCACTTATCACGATCGGCTGGACTTCCCTTTTCGGCCACCACTTCCCGGCTACCAGAACTGTTTCCCCTCTTTCTGGTCTCTTTTCTCCTTTGACCCTCGCCGATCCTTTTCTCGACTAATTACTTCTCGTTCATCTCATTTTGACTCACTTGCATCATCTATCGTCATCCAATAACACAATAAACTCCCCATCCTACCTTTTGACTCCTACTAGGCGCCATCATTATGCATCTCACAAACCAGGATATTCCAAAGCTTGTTCTAAGAGGGACCCCTCGAGAGGTACTTTCTCTACCCTTCACACCTCTGATCTATCTCACGTACTGAATGAGTGGCCAGATTGGGCTCCAGCATGGCCGTGAGCTCCGCCAACAAATCCACAGTCAGCTGGCCGTTTACGAGGAGATGTTCAAGCACACAGCTAATATGTCCTGGGATTCGGTCCGAGAGCTGGCTCAGGAGTTTCGCACAGCCTCGGAGCAAAACACTCCTGCAGTCTATGCCGAAATGCAGGGAATTGCGGACGCTTCCGGTCGGGATATCCTGGATATCGTAGCGTTGAACTGTCGCAGCGAGATTGCTATGGGCTGTTTCTCCGACGGGTGCACGAGCCTTTCGTGGAAGAAGAGGGATGATGCTCGCATTCTGGCGCAAAACTGGGATTGGACCAACCTGGTGGGGGAGAATCTGGCCTTGGTGTCTATCGAACAAGTCGGCAAGCCGAGGATTCATATGGTTACCGAGGTAAATGATCTACGAAGAAAGGAGGCTTCCGAGAGAATGTTCTCTATATTCACTAACTGATTACGATCAGGCCGGTATCATAGGGAAGATCGGATTCAATAGTGCCGGCGTCGGCGTCTGTCTCAACGCTATCAAGGCTCATCCCTGCATCAGCTCCAAGGTGCCCATCCATGTGGCGCTCCGTCTCTGCCTGGAGAGTCAATCGGTGGAAGAAGCTGTGCAAGCTATCGGGTCTCTTGGAGGAATAGCCTGCAGTGCACACATCTTGGTCGCTGACAGCGCCACGTCCCTAGGCTTGGAACTTTCACCGCTTGGGGACGTGCATCTGAAAGAAAATGAACATGGGATCATCACCCACACCAATCACTTCCTTGAGAATGGCCATGTAGTCGAGCCGGCATGGATACCGAGCTCGCCCTACCGACTGGACCGCATTAATCAACTGACAAACGAACTGGTTGGAAGTGGGCTCCACGGAGACAGCATCACGCCCGCTCTGCTGCGAGAGACCATATTCTCGGACACTTGCAATTCGCCATATTCTATCAGCCTTCGTCAAGGGGACCCGAACCGTCACTGGACGGTCCGGAGTATTACCCTGTTCAATATAGTTATGAATTTGGACGCCCGTTGCCCGGAGGCAGAACTTGTCATCGGCCAACCGGGAACTGGCACGGAAAGCTCCGTTATCAAAATCCCTTGGGAATAAAGGCAGACGTTCATCGATGTGGAAATATCCCGTCATTTCCGATATCTACAGAGATTTGTTGGAGAAGTCCAGAGCACGAACAAAGAAATTAATACTTATTGACGAATAACAAAGGCCAGCCATGATTTTCAACGGGGGTAAACATGTCAAATGTAGATTTAGATGGAATTTCCGGGGTAACTCACACAAACAAGGCCATGGACAAAGGGAACCAAACCTGAGAGGATCAGGAAAATGTCTTTGTTCTCAGCAGTATATTAACCCCCCAAGCTAAGCATCATCAGCTGTGGATTTTCCCATCCTATCTCCAAATATATACAAACTGAGTCATCTATATACAAACCCAGCGTCTATATACAACCCCGCATCCTTATCCAGTTCAAAAAGACCTTCTCGAACTGCTGCCACGAAAAGCCTACAAATCATTCAAGTGATCCCTGGGCAGATCAGAAAAATTGGAAATGTCTACCACCGCCGTCGAAACCATAATGTCGGAGGTCCAACTCACGATCGAGACGTCGGTCGATGTCGATCGCTCTCCAACCGAGGAGGAGAGCTTCTCTTCTGACGAAAGCGACGCCAGCTCCGACGAGGGCGAGGGCAGCTACGAGTCCGACAACGAGCTCGAGAAGGTGCGATGCCACGGATGCGGGGAGTGGTACCTCGTTAACTTATACAGGCCAAGGCGCCGATGCGCAAGTTGTTCTCTGAGGACCTATGTCTGCAAAAAGTGCTTGAATTGAGTTCTTTACTACTGCTATATACTATACAACTGCCAAATGTTTTGCTGTCAATGGTTATAGAGCGAGAAGCGAAGAATTTTTATATATACTGGTGAAGTTTGAAGTTTCGTGTTTGGACAATACATCATAACGTTGCATTCCACAATAATATCCATGTCATCCATGTCATCCATGAGTAATCCCAGTAGGACGGAGTAGCGGTCATTGTAGATAACGGTGTGGATCCTGTAGAATTGTACTCCATCTTTGACTGGTAGACTTCCCCGCGGGTACTCCGAAAGGAGACTAGGGCGATTGCCAATCAAGAATCGGGAAGACGTCATTCGCTCTTCTCTTCTTCTTCTTCTTCTTCTTCTTCTTCTTCTTCTTCTTCTCTCTCTCTCCCTCTCTCTTTCCTTCTTGCATCCCTCTCTGTTCATTGATCCTCATCACAATGGCTTCAGCAACGGGAATTCCGCAGGACCACCCTCAGACCGTCGAGTCACGAGAGGACGAGCCCCTCCTGGGAGGACCTGGCCAGGTCGTCCAGAAAGAGTCCGACTACATCTTCTATAACCTGTTCACGGGTAAGTTGGTCTTGTACTCACAGCTGTGTAACCAATTGTCTGACGATTCGTGGTATAGGAACGGCCACGGTGGCTCAATTTGGCATCTGGATTGTAGGTCTTCCATGAACCTCTGCCAGATCGCATCACTGACTATCCATCATTAGCTGACCATCTTAATTTGGTCCGGCATTTTCAATCATGAATTGATTTTGTTCTCTGCTCATCCGGTCAGTTTAATCACTTTCAACTCATTTTTTTGTGTGTAAATACATTATGAACTAACCGATTCTCAGCTCCTCAATTCGTCTGCTCTCCTTTTGCAAGTCCAAGCAGCTCTGATTCTCCAGCCCACCGCAACCCCACAGCAGAAGCTCCAGGGAACACGCGTTCATTACATTCTCCAATCTCTGAGTCTAGCTGCATTTCTTTCCGCCTTCGTCGTCATCGAAGTTAACAAGGGCAACCATGCGCGCTTCACCTCGCCCCACGGCGTGATGGGCTTAATCACCTACTTGCTCATCATCCTGCAGGCGCTCGGTGGTGTCGTCCAGTACTTCCTCCCCGGTCTGGTCCTGGGAGGTGCCAACCGCGGCAAGCGTTTTTACAAGTATCACCGTGCATCCGGATATGTGCTGCTGCTACTGGAATTGGCGACCATTTCTGCGGCTACGCGAACTACCTTCAATCTGACCGTGTTGGCTATTCCTCTGTGGGCTGTTCTGTTGGCTGCCGTGGTGATTGTTGCGGGCGTTGGAGCCAGGGTTAAGAAGCATAAGCTGGGACTATAAAATGAGAATGCGATGCTTGGCAGAATGTTTCTTTTTGGACCTGATTGATGACTTTTTGACGGCAACGATGATTACATGATTTTTTGGTTAGAAGATAAGGCTAGCAGGGAAACTGATAATGACAGCAATGACAATAATATAATGGCTGGTAGTTAGAGACAGAATAATGCATCGCAACTCTCTTTTATAGTTCGTGGGCCAGATAAGCCTCCCAGAGCCCCAGTGATCGTCTGGACCGCCCGTGGTTGCGACTTGCGAGTGACGCCTGAGGCATCCGAACGGGTGGCTTCAATTCCGTTTCTTTTCCGTCGAACCACCCGCTTCCGTTCGCTTTCTCTCGCTCTTCTCTTGCCCTCTCCCATACCATCCCTCCCTCAATGGCGTCCGCTCGGACACCCTATGTCTGCCTCAACTGCAGGTTGACGGGTCCTCTTCTTCGCCGGCCCTTTTCCGTCTCTGCCCGTCGCCGCGATACTCTTCGACCCGCGACCGCTCCGAAGCCCACTCCCGACGTCAAGCACATTCGCCAGAATGCCGAGCTTTACTCTAAGAATTCCGTCGAACGGAACTATCCCTCGCATGCGGATTTTCCCTTCCAGATCCAGCGACTGTCTGAGGAGACTCGCCAGCTAGATAATGACCTCAAAACACCCCGATCCCGCGTCAAGCAGCTCGAGAAGGCCATTGCGCAACTCGCGCGTCAGGAAGGGAAAACCGATGACAACGAGAAAGAACTGGCGGCTCTCCGGTCAGAGGCTCAGCAACTGAAAGACCAGTCACAGGCCATGACCACTCGCAAAACCGCCTGCTCCGACGAAATCAATCGCTTGGCTTTATCCCTCCCCAACCTCTCCTCCGCTGACACCCCCGTCGGCCACGATGCTCAACTCGTCGAGTACATCAACTTCGACCCTCAATCGCCGCCGTCGTGGGTCACCCACCCAAACCCCAGCACTCGCTCGCACGTCGCTATCGGTACCTCCCTCGGCCTCCTCGACTTCACCAGCTCCGCCACCACCACCGGCTGGGGCTGGTACTTCCTCACCAACGAGGGTGCGCTGCTCGAACAGGCCCTGATTCAATACGCCCTCAGCGTCGCCCGCGCGCACGGCTGGAAGCCCGTCTCCCCACCCTCCATCGTCTACTCCTACATCGCCGAGGCCTGCGGCTTCCAGCCGCGCGACCAACACAACGAGCAACAGATCTGGTCCATCGCGCAGTCCGGCAAGGACAAATCGAAACCCACGCGCTCCCTCGCTGCTACCGCCGAAATCCCGCTCGCCGCCATGTACGCCGGCCGCGATATCGACGCCGCCGACCTTCCCGTCAAACTCGTCGGTCCTAGCCGCTGCTACCGCGCCGAGGCCGGCTCCCGCGGCGTGGACACGAAGGGTTTGTACCGCGTGCACGAATTCACCAAAGTCGAAATGTTCGGCTGGGCCGATACCTCGTCTTCGTCTCCCTCCACCACCCCTACCTCAGACGACCTCTTCCACGAGCTCCTCGCCATCCAAACCCAAATCCTCACCTCCCTCGGTCTCCCCTGCCGCGTCCTCGAAATGCCCACCACCGACCTCGGCGCCAGCGCCAGCCGCAAACGCGACATCGAAGCCCTCTTCCCGTCCCGTCTGCGCGCCTCGCCGTCGGATCCCGCCTCCGCGCTCGAATCCGCCTGGGGCGAGGTCACCTCCGCGTCTATCTGCACGGACTACCAGAGCCGACGACTCGGGACGCGCGCCCGCGGCGGTAAAGTCAAGGAGTCGCGGTTCCCGCATACGGTGAATGGCACGGCCATGGCGGTGCCGAGGGTGTTGGCTGCTATCTTGGAGAATGGGTGGGATGAGGAGCGTAAGGTTGTGGTTGTGCCGGAGATGTTGAGGAATTATATGGGTGGGTTGGAGGTGATTGGGGAGCAGAAGTAAGGTAGGGGGCAGAGAAGGAACCATATAATATCATTACATACGTAGGGAGAGGCTGGATGCTCCACTCTACGATTTGAATATGTGCACTTAGATCTTGTTGGAATATTTGTATACTAGGTACTTTCTCACTTCACTTCTAAACTATAACATAGATTGATCCATCATATAGTTAGCACACGGTAGCTGAATGGGTTTTAACCAATTGATCAGAAATGGATGAAAATAATATTGTACTTTCGCGCAAAGACCAGATTGAGCCCATCATCATTCATTCATTGTCTCGATTGATTGGAAATGTACAAGATAGTCTACCTTAGAGAGATAAAGAGAGAGCGCGCACCCGACCTGGAGTTCGTACAGTAGAGTAGAATAGAATGAAGAAACTGAATTGATTGGAAGAAGTTCACCCCCCAAAGAAGAGGATAAGAAATAAGAAACACCAAACACAGAAAAGGTGAGGTAGTAAGTAGGATCGTAAATTCATAACACGTGATAAGGTAGTAAAAAGGACGTCAGATCGTAAAACAATCGTGTATCAAAGATCACATCATAGGAGGGGACCGAAAATAGGCATGTCTTCTGCTCGCAGCAGAGATAGGCAAATAGTACTTCGTCAACATTGAAAACGTCAAAGATCAAACATATAAGAGGAATTGACCAGAGGGGAGATGAAGGAAAGAAGATAGAGAAAAAGGAAGTAAATCGTCAGTGGGTATCGACAGTTCGTAAAGAAAACAAAATTGGACTCGTAAAAATCTTGGCCTCGTCGGTATCGTTGTATCAAGGTTTTCATTCCCATGGGACATCGGCGTTCTCGACTTTAATGCACGTCAGGTAAGGAAATCCCGCGTCGCTCATTTCAGCACTCTTCAGATCCAGCTCGAGGAAATTTCGCATGAGAGGCTTCACAATCTCACGAGCTAATCGTTTGATCTCGTCCATCTTGCGCTCAAAGCGTTTCAAGACGTCCCGGGAGTACAACGACTCTGTAGACGGGGTTGGGTGGACTTTAAGGAATTTCTTGAGTTCTTCATGCTTTAGATAAGCTTGGGAGGACGAGGAGCCGATCAGGCGGTACACCTGCGCCGAGGACATTGGGGGAGTGGATGCGGAAGATTTCGAAGGGCCTGACGAGGAGTCTTGGCCGCGATGATGTCCGGTCGGTTGCGACGAGCGACTTGGATGGCTGCTGGGGTTCGAGGAATTGTTCTTGAGGATCGGCGCTGGAGGTGGCGTTGTGCTGTCCACCAGCCATTGTCGAAATAGAGAGATCGCGAGCCAGTCGAGGTACGCATTCGTGGGACTAACTCTTTCGCCACGAGATGTGGTAAGGGAGAGTCGCAGCAGCTTAGAGTCAACGCGCGCTTTCATAAACTCGAGATCCTCCACCTTGTCCTCGATGATGTCCAGCACGGTGTCCGGGAGGGGCGAGTACGGGCCGTTGCGCAAATGGGGCAGTCCCACCGGCCATTGTCCGACAACGTGGATCAGGGCTTCCGAGTAGATGACCCGGCTTCGCGCCAGGAATCCCAATTTAAGGTAACTCGGTGGATATTTGGCGATTTGCTTGAACAGCCGGGAGCCAAAGCCCAATAGATGGTGGTCGACTCGCGGTCCAGTGACTGGCAGCGCGTCATACATATCAGCTAATGCCAACAGTGCCCTACACTCGGCGTACGCGGTCGCGATGTTCACGCTATTGAGCTGCGGGGGATAGTTGTAAAATAAACGAAACAGATTATCATAATCGCGGACGATGGGATCCATCGGCGCGTTCGCCGCTGTCCCCCGGTGAGGCAAGTTGACCACCGACTGCATCCCCGCCAGATTTGCCATGGAGCGAACGAAACCCGCATGGGCACTCGATGGTTTGGTCGTCGACGGAGGGTATTGACCCGCGTCATTCCCGAACGCGCTGGAAAAGCTAGGTGGCTAGTCACGGTCAGAATGTGAGATGTATCGAACAGGGGTTAAACCAGTGTGGATAGACACCAACCTTTTGAACCAAAATCGGTTCCTCGTCCTCCGCCTTGCCCTCCCAGTCTAGTTCATACCGCCATCTTCTCTTCTCGGGTGCCCACGGCGTTTGTCCCGCATCGGACTGGGCCAGGGTCGAGCCGTTAGAAAGGGAAGAGTTATCTTCGCTAATACGCGATAGCACGGCGGGATCCGGATTTGTTGGTCGCGCGACGGTTTGTCCTGACCATTCCTCGCGGGTGCTCGCTTCGAAAAACCCCGAGCATTGCGCCAATATCAACCGATGTAGAAGATACCGCTTCTCCTGGGCACCCGCACGAATCACGATCTCCACGTCGCCTGTGTGCGTGAAAATGGGAAAGTCGTTTTGAGGCTGGTGAGCGAGACCCCCATGATGAGAACGACTCGAGCGATGTCGCCGGCTGGAGTGAGAATGGCGCGACAGAGACGAGGGCGCGCTCGGCATGGGGATAGACCGATCGAGGATCTGAGCCTGGGAAACCATTTCGGGGCCGGTGACGGGATTCGTGACAATAGTGGGAGACTTCGTTGTCATGGTCAGGCGAGGCGCTGAGTAAATGCGCGGGGACAGGGCGCCAGGGTGAGTGCGGGTATGGAAGGCTTCATCCAAAAGATATGTGTTCCAGCGCACGTCGATGTGTATTGAGGTTTATTCGGTCGGTCAAAAAACAATGAAATGCAAGGAATGGATTGCACAAAGCCACCGAGCGCGCAGAACCACTGGCGGCTGAAACCCCGCGGCGATAGGCAAAATGCAGGCAAATCGACCGGCGTGGGTTGGGAGACGTGGGAGACCCTCCCAATCGAGGCGATAGGAGTCGACGGTCGAGGGGAGTTGTTTCAGATATCTTCGGAAAGAAAGGCGCACAGCAAACAGGGTCGAGAAAGCGAGCGAGAAGGAGGGAAAGGGAACAGAAGGCTGAAACCTGATATGATAGGACAGGATCCACTACTGGATGCAGCCAAGTCCAGGCGAACTAAGCCATTCTCCATAAACAAATAAACAAATCAAGAAGAGCCGGAATGGAGAAGCGATGAAAACCAGGGGGATGGGGTTCTAGAAGGAAGAAAAAACCACGAACTTGAGATCGAGATGAATGCTATCTTCAGTTATGGATGGAAGTGATCGTCTGTGGTCGAAGTCCAGTGCTTGTTTCGAGATGAAGATGGAAATCGAGATTCAACAGCGGAGACGAAAAGACATAAACGAATAGTGATGATCATAATTAGTCATCCGCTTGTGCACTGTGCACAACCCCGGCCATCACGTGTGGGACCCGATCGGGGCCCGCCCAAAGAAAAGAATCGGAGTCATTATTTTGCGCTTCCTTCAACTTCAACGTCATTCTTTCGGTCACTCCTTGTCCGGTCTCTCTCGACGTCTAGTTCTCCTTCTGGCGTCTTCCAGCCTACATCTGTCACCGCGAGTCATGCCTGGGTTCTACCGTCAAGCCCTCCGAACGTCCAATTGGTCTTGACCCGCACACCTCTCTCGTCAAGGATAATGGCCAGTGTCATGCTCGAAACCTTGTCGCGAGTTACAATTTGGCTGTTTCGGATTCGATTCCGATTTATCACGGTTGATCCCACAGACTAGAAGCCATGACCAAAGGCTGCTACACCTGCCGTCGCCGACGCATCATCTGCGACAATGGCCTCCCCACCTGTCGAAAGTGCCGGGATGCGGGGAAAGAATGTCTGGGGTATCAAAAACCCCTCGTCTGGGTCAAGGGAGGTGTGGCTAGTCGAGGAAAGATGATGGGTCGCAGCTTTGACGACGCCAATGCGAACCCCCCAGGCAACCAGAACGAGTCTACCAGCGCCCTGCCGAACAACGACCTGCCGACGTCGGAATCGCCTGCCATCACCACACCGACTCCCAACCGGACGGGACCTGAATCGATCCGGGATACATCGGATATTGCGCAGGTGGAAAAGAAGGAGAAGCGCATTATTCCGAAGAGGGCGAATTCTAGAATCAGCTCTCTCCCAGCGCCCAGAGCTCTGGTAGATCCGCTGTTCCAAGATCTGAGCCCTTTGACTAGATTCTATATCTCTCACTGTGAGTAGTGGCATACGACTATCCCATTGCGGATTGTTCTAACCTTGTTCTCGCAAAGTCAATCAGCATCTTGTCGGATATCTCGCACTGTATTCTCATGTGAACAACCCATTCCGTCAACTCACCCCCTTGGTCGGAGAATCCCCCGTTCTTGCCCACGCGCTGGCTGCGACGGGCGCATTACACTATGCAATCGTCGCGAATTATGATTTCTCACCTACGCCATGGTCTAACGGTGGCGCAGCGTTGACGGAGACTCGTCTGTCTCCAGAAGACGTTGAAAAGGCAGTGGTTAGTTCCATGTGCCGGCGACCAGCTTCAAAGACCTACGAGCACTTCCTTGGGTTCAAGCAACGCACCCTCCATCAATTATCGCAGGATCTACACGACCCTTCTAAACGCACAGACAATCGGACGTTGGCGACGATCATGATCCTTGCGCTTATGGATGCCATTGAGTCCGGGGATGGCGCCTGGAAATATCACCTCGAGGGTGCCAAACAATTGCTATTAAGTCGAAGTCAAGAGGATAACCCCCTTTCCAAACAAAGCATGACCGATTCGCTCGACACCTTCGCCATCGACGGTTGTCTCCTGTGAGTCACCTTCCCTGTTGTCATGCGACGATCATTGAGCTAACCTGCCCACCTTCAGGATCCAGCTTATGGGCTCTACCCTCGCCCGACCAGGCTCCCTCACAAAGCCCTTCTACTCCTCGGACATGGGCGCCGGCGTTCTCAAACGTCTCGAAGAAACCTCATGGGTCGGCTGCCCCGCCTACCTCCTCGAAGTCATCTTCATCGTCCACGCCGGCTGGTGCTCGGACCCTGAGAGCGACTCCACGGCCCATCACCCAACCCTGAACTTCCCGTCGGCCTTCCTCCCGAAAGACTCCAACCCGTTCCAATCCCCCGGTGCCCTCCTCCGACACATCCAAGCCTTCGACCCCGTCGCCTGGGCCCAAGCCATGCAAACCTGCCTCTACCTCCCCGACCAGACCATGCGCATCGCCCTGGCCAGCGTCTACCGCGCCGCCGTCTACCTCTACGCCAGCCGCGTGCTCTCCCGCCCTCGCGCCGGCGCCGCCATGTCCAACAGCTTCGGCCTGCCCCCAGACCACAGCGCCGTCGCTAATCGCCTCATCCGTGAGATCGCCCTGATCCCTGTCTCCGACCCGCACTTCAAATGCCTCATCTGGCCGTCCTTCATCGCCGGTGCCGAATGTCGCGATCCAGCCCAACGTCCCATCCTCCTTCAAACCCTCAGCACGCTTTACTACGACATCACGAGCGTCAACGTCCGCAACGCCGCCTGGGTCCTCAGTTTGATGTGGCGGAAACGGGACGCGAAAAGACAGGAGGCATCTTCGTCATCTGGCCAGTCCCCCTCCTCTTGTCCCTCTCCTGCTGCTTCTTCTTCTTCTTCCTCCCCTGTTTCTCCTATCTCGATGACGACCACGACAACGACAACGGCGACATTCACCCCGCCCGACACCTCTTCCGGATCCTCCACAATCACTGATACTACCTACGACGATGACGATTTCGACTGGATCCAGGAACTGGATAATTCGAGAATCGATTGGTTATTTATATAACGACTTTCTTCTCATCTTTTCCCATCACCACTACGTCTTATCTTACTAGTCACTTGAATAAACTGACCGGATGATGTTGAAATCCATGTACATGTATATAGTTATAAGTTATCTAATGAATAATAGCAAGCGATAAATACGAGTGAACCGATGAATAATGTCAACGCTATGTTCAAGAAAAAGCCAGATACCAATGCAACAGGAAAGGATAAGCACTGCGAGTAATGACGTATGTAGATGATGTTGTCTTTGCAAGATACGGCACTCCGTATGGCTTGACCATGACGAGACGGCGCATCTGATCAGAAAGAAAGCAAGCGTGACAACCAATCGAATGAATACAAAAGGCGAACAGGTGATATGTGAGAAGAAGAGGGATGATGAAGAAAACAATCGGGAGGAAGGAAAGATACCAATCGGTCAATCAATTCCCCCGAAGAGCAAGATAGCATTGTAGCAAAGTAGAAAAAAACACTATGTAACAAGAACGTAAATTGTACTGGAAGAGCAAAGGTAAAAAAACGAAGCACAAGGGGTGGTCAAGAAGACACGAAGAAATAAAGAGACGGGGAATCTGACGAGTTAAGAGGAAGAAGAGAAAGAGAAGAGAAGATACAAATCGGGGAATCAATTCCGCTCCTAATGAGAAACAAAAAAGAGGAAGAAAGAACAATGAAAGCCGCTCAGCGTGACAAATCGAATGGTATAATGACAAATGAAACCTGGAGCAGCAATAGCTTGATCAAGGCATGTCGAAGAGCCGGGGGTTTGGGGTATATAAACTATTCCTCGTGTCTGTAACTGCCGACCAAAGCGAAAACAAATCCGACAAGCTCTTGAGTCCTCTGTTTTTTCGACCAAGCGAAAATTATATATCCGAGTATTTAGAGAAGAGAATGGTGTGAAAGGAGACAAAAAAAAAGCAAAGCGCCAGATGAGGGATATACGCACACTCCGTCCCATCTAAATGCAGTGATCTCAACAAACAGGGGAAATATAAAGCAAAACACGCTCATCATTGCAAATATGCAAGATTAAAAAGAAAGCAAAAAGGGTAGACAAATGACTTGACAAAGGAAAGCTTTCAAAATGCAGACACAAAAGAGACGATTGCTGGTTACAGACGGTCAAAACCCATTGGTATCAACAATGGACCAAACGCATACCAATAGTGGTTGTTAAAAACAAGAAACGAAAATGACACCCAAGGAGTCAAATGCAGGTGAGAATCAGAAAACGGTATGAAAGTAAATGGGTGGCAATGTTCCAACTGAGAAAGAATAAGTCGAGAAGGTGAGGAGGATGAAGGAGAAAGGTGCTATACGTGGAATCATAGGCCTAGAAGACTGCAGCCAATCCGTTCCTTGAGTGGCGCCGGCTGAATCTTTTTCGCCCTTTCACGGATTCAGAGTCAGTGGCCTGGTGCTTGACGAGCGTGGCCCGCCCGGACGATGATGGCGGGTTTTCATGGTGCATCTCAGAACTTTGATCCAGAGTGTTGGCCTGGCTTGACATTTCGGAAGACAGGTTATGGAATGCTTCGTCGGCAGAGTAGGAGCCATTGCTTTGCTGGGACAGAGCCATTTCTTTCGCTCGGTCCAGCGCGTCCAGCCATTCCTGTGCCGACAAAGCGGTGGCACCCACATTGCTAGACGAGGGTTTAGGGTCTTCGAAGACGAAATGCTTGTCTCGCTGCAACAAAAGACATTAGTAACACGCTACGAGGGCCATTTTATAAGGAATATGAATCTTACCGTATCGACAACCCAACATGAAAATCCTTTGGTGTCTGTCGAAGTGCGATACTGCGTCCCCGGACCAAGCAGGGAAATCTCCATCTTGGCTTTCTTTTCGTCGCCTCCGGATGCAGCCAGAATGATTCGGGCTGACGAAGTCACCATGACCAGTCGCTGTCGCTTCTTGGTGGTGCTACCTCCGAAGAAACGTGAAAACTTCTTCGGGGCCTCGACTTCACCAGTTCCGTTCTTTGAGACGGGGCTATGGGCAGCCGGTGAAGACAAAACCATCAAATTCCCCAGCTTGAGTATTCGCTCATTGGTCTTGGTCAATACCGGAGACCATTCAATATCAAGTTGGCTGGGAGGGGGCAGCTCCGTCACGAGTCTTGGGACCACCCTGGAGCTGGCGTTGGTGGCACCGGTAGGAGCCGTGCTGATACCCGGCGGGTAACTCTCCCCGTCTCTGCCTCCGTTTAATTTGATGGGCTCACGAGGCGGCGGTACATACGCCTTCAGCCGAGGTGCTTTTCGTTTCCAGAGGTCCGGGCCCCAGGTCATACCCTGGAAGAATTCGTGGTTCTTAATGTGTTCGATCGGCAGCCGACGAGCTGGGTCGAGAACGAGCAGACGCTCGACGAGATCGCGGGCAACGGCAGGAAAGCCGACGGGAAATTCGTAATCAAGCGCGACGATCTTTTGAAAAGTTTGGTATTCATTTCCGGCCTTGAAAGGGGGTCGACCGGCCAAGAGCTGATAGATAATGCAGCCAAACGCCCACAGGTCGCTTGCCTTGCAGGCGTTCTTGTCGGTGAGCAGTTCCGGGCTGACATATTCCGCGGTGCCGACGAAGGAGCTGGCACGCTCCTCTGCGGGCATGTCGGCCGAGTCTAACGGCGGCATTCCGCTCGTATTCTTCTCCGGTCGCCGCGGGCTCTTGAGGATCTTGGCCGTTCCAAAGTCCGTGATCTTGACGTGCATCTGGTTGTCGAGAAGTACGTTCTCCGGTTTAAGGTCCCGATGGATCACGCCGCGCCGATGCATATAGTCGATGGTGTCTAGGATCTGGGCACCGTAAAACTTCGTGCACTCCTCGTCAAAAGTCGACATGCGCTTTAGCACGCCCAGCAGTTCTCCCCCTTTGCATAGATCCAACACAAAGTATAACGAACGCTCATCTTGAAAAGTGTAGTAAAGTCGAACGATTCCCGGATGTTCGGTCAGTCGGTTCAAGGTGTCCTTCTCGATATTCACATATTTGACCTTCTTCTCCTTGATGATGTGTCGCTTGTCCAGGATCTTAATTGCATACTCCTTCAGAGTCTGTCGGTCCGTACCAAGCACCACGGTACTGTAGGATCCTTCTCCGAGAGTGTTGCCGAACGAGAAATCCCGCACCCCCTTTTTGATGTAGCGCGCAACGGGCTTCCCGTTGGCGTCTAGCTCCTGTCTCACAGACACAGCGGCGCCTCGGTCTTGCCAGTCCTCGCTGCTGGGTACGGGGCCATTCTCCATCCCATACGGCGACCCCGCCAGCTGAGCCGCATTACCGCCGCGCGCGTGGGCACGGGAAGTCTGACGCATCACCATCGGCCCGTTGCCTGCGGGCAACTGGGCTGTCCGGTACGATCGGTCGCTGTGGCTATTATCACGCACGGGAACGCCGGCTTGATACGCGGCAGAGCCACCGCGAGATTCTGCCCGAGCCTGGCTTTCGGAGGCGGACGACGCGGCGGAGTCGGTGCGGATTCGATAGGAGCCCTCCCGGGCGGCCAGGGTCGACGTAGAACCGTTCGCGAAAAGACCTGATAGGGGACGAGACGAACCCGACGAGGGAATCTGAGACTGTTGTTGGGGGGCATAGGGGGGGAATTGCGAGGTCGGTTGTTGCTGTATATCTAGGTAAGGAAGGACGATGGAATTCCGGTTCTCGTGGGGGTTCGTCGACAAGTCGTACAGGCTCTCGCCCGTGGATGGCATCGACAGGAAGGGAAGGGACGTCGAGCTGCCTGACCGTTGTTGGAAGAGTGTCGACTCGCGCTTGGGTTCGGGGGCAGGAGGCTGAGCCGTCGTCGCAGTGGCCGGGGTTGGAGTCGCGGCATCCTCGGAGTGTAGAGACGAGTCATCCGGGTTGGCTATCCGGAGACCTCCCAGAGACTGGGAGAGACTGAGGTCCCCGTCCATGACGGGCATGAGCGGTGGTGGGGAGGAGGAGGACGGTCGAATTGTCGAGCAATCGGACCGAGAGGGGGAGACGAGGGAGGAAGAGGAGGAGGAGAGGGGAAACGGAAAAGGAGAAACGAGAGAGGGACGTTGGGTGAGCAGCCAAGACTCGGGACTTCCAGCGTAGTAGGAAAGAAAGGGAGAACGGGGGGGAAATACTCCGTAAAGAGAAGATAATTTGGATCGGTTATTTTTGTTTGTTCTTCCCTTCTCAATTATTATTTGCAGATGAAATCAAATAATAATGAGAGAGATTTGAAAATAACGAGTGGAATTCTGGGGATGAGAACAACAATAATGGCGGTAAATCCTCAACCCAAGAGAAAGCGAGAGAGCGAGAGAGCGAGAGAGGGAGGGAGAGAAGGAGGCAAAGAGAGGGCGGGCCGACGGGTAAACCTAATTAATCCTCCCTCTTGCTCGAGTTGATCGGTCGAAGTAGAGCCAGGGAAACGAAGCGAAAGAAGAGAGAACTGAAAAAGAACGAAGAGGCTGAGAGAGATGGCAGCCGGAGGAATTGGGTAACAGTTTAGTCCTGGTTATTATTAGATCGGAATCTGCCTGCCTGTGATTTATATTTAGTATTGGGTGATCTCGATCTTGAATTTGATATTTTGTTCCTTTTTTCTTTTTCTTTTTCTTTTTCTTTTCTTTTTTTTTTTTTTTTTGCTAATTTTATTCGGTTTTCTACATCAGAAATCCAAGGGGACAGTTTCCAGGTTTCCTGTTTGGGATGCAGCGTTGAATGTATCCAACCACGTCGGGTTGATCATCGTCCTTTGCTGGAAGAAGTAGACTTCTTGGGGTCTTTGACCTCGTGGATTCTAATGTTCATATTTTTCGAGATGTGTCCTCATGCAATGCTTATTCTTCGTTGTAACGTGCACGCTTGTTCCTGCCGACTTCCAAATATATACTGTCGGCGTCCCTTCCCTACAAACCTGGTTTATCGTCTGGTTCTGCGTAGTTAGAAAAACAGCACCGCTCGAATTCTACGTCCGATTGTTGACCTGCATATCGCTACATAGATCTTTCATGACATCATCTGGAGTATAGATAGGTTCACCAAAATGCTTCGTCTGGGACCCACTCGTATCTTCTTGGGAGAAGAAGACCTCCGGTATCATCTGGGAAGAGTTTACCTGCGCCAGACAGAATCCGCGGCGGGATTTAACACGGATCAAACTGACAGTGATTATGAGGACGGAGATGAGGACGAGTATGAAGACGAGGATGACAAGACTTCTGTCGGCTCTCAGGACTTCTCGCCATATGCTCTGTCCCATTTCAAAGCGTCCAGCTCAGATTCCACCAGTGAGCCAGATGGTTGGCCACAAGGTCGATGGCCGAGAAACTGGAGAACAAATGCTGTCTGCCTCTCGTCGACGTTTGCTGATTCCACCACTCTCGGCACGTCGCTGTCTTCGCGCATCGAACTGGCGTCCTCTGTTTGTGATGATTTTCGTGTTCCTGGCCTAGTCAGCGTGACGGACGTGACTGGTACTCTCACTCAACGTGCCAGCGCAAGATCACGACACGCCTGCTATACTGGCTCACTTCAACATTCACCAAACACAAACACACCAACTCCCACCAGCTTGAAGTCTGAGGCTGAAGCTGTTAGGAAAGTTCCCCTCAGTTCGGCTGATGAGAAGACAAGGAGGGGTTGCGAACTTCCCAAGACCAATACCCCCAGGAACCTGTGCCTATCTTTTTGTCAAGAGCTGGGAAGTTCCATTGACCTCTCTGTTTCCTTCCCTCTTACAACTTTAACTCTTGACTTGGAACACAAGGCTTCACATCAACACAAAGCGGGTAATCAAAACTCACCTGTCTTTATCAAACAAAATACTGACGCTCTTTGTCACAGGAGTAAGCTCCAAGACTACTACCCGACTTAGCAAACAGAGCAAGATCTTCCACCCCAGTCTGAGCATCAAGACACATCCATCCGCGTACTCCGTCACACTCAACCCGCTGGTCAAAATCCTCACCCGACTTCTCCAAGAGAGACTGATCGTCAAGACAACCGTAATGAACGGTGCAACGGGCTCAAACAACTCGGGCCCATGGAGAAGAGGGGCAGTTCGAACCCGTAATCCTTCATGGCCCCATATATATCGTGTCCACGGGACCGCTGCCAATCATGGCCCAGAGGCGACCTCCGCAGCCCTAGCGAGTGGCACGCAGGGTCTATCTGAGCCAGTCGCGACCGCTGAATCTCACAGGAGCCCGGTTGTTGAGGTAAGAATCCATGCTAATAAGCGGTTAACGCGAGTTGACCTGTCGAATATTGAAGCGACCGAGGAATGAGGGTAACAGCGAGGCGGAAGAGAGAGACAGAGTGCGTAGCGTCATGTCCATCAGTTCATTGGCCCCTGCGGACAACCATGTTGAGATACGATCTCGACATGGGGCCAGGGTAGACGCGAATTGCTTTCCGAGTGGCCTGGCGATTATGAGAGAGCGTGTAGGTGTGCCTTGCAAAGACGTTCCTTTCAATCTAGCAGTGCTAAGAGTTACTGTTCACCGCAACTGTAGGACCCAGTCGCTTCCACCGCGGGGCCCGCCCACCTCTCCCATGATCGGGAATCACAGCAGAATGGTGCTGCTTCTGCAAGGCCACTGGAGGAACCCACGGCGATGTTGGCCCACCCAGTATCTTCAATTCCTGGTGTACACAATAATCCTCATGCGATGAATCGAGGACAACCCACGGTGACGTATAGACCGATGAGGACCATGACCGAAACATCTCCAGCAGCTGGTGTGCACTATGGTTCTTCTGCGACTGCTCGCGAGCAGCCCATAGCGGTGCATAGACCATTGGAGGTCATTCGTCGAGCATCTCCAGCTGTTCGTGTACAGCCTTTCACGCCCGTCAATCCACCAAGCCGTACAAGACAAGAGGGCGCGGCAACTCCACATGGTAGCCACCCCGAGCCAAACAACGTAAGGATTTCCCCGGATCGTGACGGCCAGTTGATCATGCGGCTAACCTGCATAGAATGACGCCAAGTTTAGGACGGAGGTTCAGTCCATTGAGCGTCGCCTGAAGCGGATGATCTCCGAGGAAAAGGGAGCCGCCGAGCGTACCAACATTTACGATTATGGATTGGGTGCGCTGAGAAGAAAGCCGCTCGGAGAATGGTATCAAGAGGCAGTGAACAAGGACGTGTAGGCCGAGATGCCGGCCTGGAGCGTTCTGGCAGGCGGACGGAGAAATCTCGCCCTGCCACAGACCATTCTCATGCATGAAGAGGCGGTCCAAGAATAGATCAATGGCCACCGAATGTCTCAAGCGGTCATTTGGGTTCAGTGTTGAGCTTGGAGTGGGCTGATAAGTTGATGACCATGATGATACGTACACCTTTTGTTATTCTTGTCTTTTTATCTTGGAATTGTTGTTGACTAGATCGCTTCGTGAGTTGCCATTTGCTATTGAGGGTGGCGGAGGCCGGTACTTTGGTCAGCCTGCCCGAATCGACTCCACCGGCTGGCGTATGGTGTACACCGAGTGCGGAGAAGCGCAGTCATGTTTCTACCGAAGTAGATGCCTATCAAGACAGGTAGTTCAGCAATCAAATTGAATACGTGGTTTTTCTGTTTCAGACCTGATTCACCATTGTGACGGCAGATGGGATGATGGAGAGGGAGAGACCACGTTATTCTACGGACACCTGTGACCATCCGAAGACGGTTAGTCTGGGCTACTAAATATATTCCCGGCTCCAGAAATTACGCGTCTGTCCACTGATTCAAGTGTTCACTCTGTCCGGAAATCCACTGTATCTCCGGAGGTGTCATCTATCCTGACCATTGTGTACTCAGTAGTGTGCACACTGTAGGAACGAGACAACTACGGAGTATTGAGTAGATTATCGATGGAATCATGTTATTGAGAGAAACAAGTACTGCACTCAACCCATATACCGTACGTAGCTACTGCTGGATGAAATAATATCGGCAATCCGGCATCTTCATCCATTGTGAAATTGATATCTTCGCATATCGATTAGGTACCATGTCCGAGCGTCAAGTCAATCCTAATCTTACCGGTTTACTAGATTATGGAGTAAACTAGACAGTACGGAGGAGTACACTGTGTGGACTATTGAGATGGAACTAAAGATTAGTATGTGTATGGTTAAGTACAGTACATGTGTATGTGGCCTTTAATATGTGTATTACTATTTACTAGTGAGTTAGTAGTGTTTAGCCCAGTTTTACTACTAAGTAAATCAGCAAAACACCCATTTACATCCGTTCTTGTTTATGTAGTTATCTTTTTCTCGAAAACCAAACGTGAAAACCAACCTACTCGATCAGGTAGATTTAGTGTGGATAGTTAGTTAGTGCCCCCCAAAGGATATAATTAACTTTGTCCAGTCTAGACCCGACTCTAGACTTGCTCCGTAGCCCGTGGAGTGTGAGACATCCACCGGTCTGAGCTGACCTGACCCGACCAAACTTGACCCGAACCTGAGTGTCTGGGCCCAGGATTCAGGACCCAGGAATCTCGAATCTTCGATTTGCGAGAAAAAAAAAAGGAAAGACATTTGTCTCAGCCTTACTTTGTTTATCTCCATCATCACTAATGAATTAACTAGATAACTGCTGAGTGCTGGCTGAGTGCTGACTACTAACTAGTACTAGCTAGGTGAACTGTCCACTGGGTGGTGTATACTGTCTTACCTTTAGTACTAGTTAGTTAGGTAGATAGCTGGTTAGTGAGATTGCATACACAATATACCGTACAGAGTAGAGACTACCTACCTACCATACGGGATACATACGGGAGTATTCATGGATGACATCAGTGTTCGATTCGGAGGAACCATCCCTTGTCGCTTCGAGTTCATCATTCATTAAAGCTGGTTGATCATGTCGATCGGAACCGGATCTATTGTAAATCGCAATCTCAGCGTTTTCTACTCCGTGCATGCTCTGCCGAAAACATCATTGTACTGTAGTGTAGTGTAGCCGACGGTCGATCAACAGGTCTGATATGTCTGATATGTCTGATTAGATCCTAAGACAAGTCCGAATATTTCCAACTGACAGGCAATTCCAATCTGTAAATCATTCATTCAGTAATATGTTCGTGGGATATAAATCTACCTATCTAACGAGACACCCCATGGCAGAAGCATCAACTCGATAGCCAAACCTCCATGCAGGACATCCATCATCTTCAAGAATCAAGTCTAGAAAAGATATATCGAAGAAAGAAAAGGGGGTTATAGGGTGAAAAAGAATTCTAGCAAGAATTGCAGGAAAGATGAAGTGGGTTTTCACATCAGCACAAAATGCCCGCATAAATCTCCCAAATATCGCTTCAAAAAGATGATAAAAAGAAAAAGAAATAGAAATAGTGAAATAGAATCAATGGCTCCCGTCGTCGTCCGTAAATAAAAATCCGGTATCTAATTGTTTTTTTCTCCGAAAAAAAACCCCCCTCTTGAAAATCGTTCAGTATTAAATCAGAAAAAATATCTCTATTAAGTTCTTTCTCGCGTTTACTGAGCCTTGGACTTAGCAAACAGCTGAGCACCGTCTTCCAGACGACGCTCGGTGTTCTGGCGACCGTTGACGAAGTCGGGGTAGTTCAGGGTAAGCTCGACGGCACCGTTGACAATGTTGTCCACAGCCTCGACACCAAGCATGAAAGAGTGGTCCTGGTTACCGACCTCGTAGCGCCAGCTACCGAAGCGGCCACGGGTCCAGATGTCCTGGGCCTGGAGGCGGGGCAGGATCTGAGTGAGGGCACCCTCACGCTCCAGGGAGGGGGTGGGGTAACCGTGGTCGAAGCGGCGGTGGTAAGTAGAGACGATCTCGTCGCCGGGCTTGAGCATCTCGGTGTTGACCAGACCCTGGATGGAGTCGGCCAGAAGGGTCTCCTGGTTGACGGGCTTCATCGAAGACTCGGAAACCTCCAGCATGATAGACCAGTAAGGACCCTCCTCAGCTTCGGTGCTCTTGGGCTTGGAGCCGTCGGCGAGCTGCAGGGTGGGGAGCTTCTTGGAGGCCTCGGGCTGGTTGTGGGGAGAGTAGTTGGAGAAGATGGTGGCACGGTAGAAGGGGCAGTTGTCCTCGGGGAAGTAGAGCTATTGAATCGCGTCATGTTAGCTTTCACCAGAGATCTGTAGGGAGAATTCAAAGCGACTTACCCAGCACTTGTCACCGATTCTCTCGGGACGGGTACCACGGATACCAACACCGATAACGTGGGTAGTGGAGTAGAAGAGCTGCTTGGTGAGGCCAACCAGCTCCTGGTCACCCATCTGCTCAGCAAGGAAGTCCACAGCCATGGTGGAGACCAGCTTCTTGTAGCCGACGGTGGTGCCATCAGCGAGCTGGACGGTCTTGTTGCCAGCGTTGACCTTGGTGACGCGGCCCTTCTCACCGAAGCGAGTGTTCTCCTTGGGGATGGTGTTGGCAACGGCAATCCAGATACCACCGGTACCACCGTGGGCGGGGAAACGGAAAGTAGCGTTGGGGCCCCAGTTACCGGCGGTCTTGTTAAGGATAACGTTGGTGGTGACGGCCTTGACGTTGGGAGCGGCGACACGCTCACCGAGCCAGGCACATTGCATCTAAAAGTTGACTCTCGTTAGCGATCGCGTCTTTCACCAGACCGATCGATGCAAAGGACTCAGAACTTACCTTGGTGGTGGGCACAGCCCAGACCTTGTAGTTGTAGGGTCTCATGAAGAGATCGGCGATACCAGTTCCCATCATACGAACGATCCACTCGTCAAAGTCCTTGGGCTTGGTGTTGGCCACGCGGGCCTCGAGAGCAGCATCGATCATGCCGTCAATGCACTTGACCTGCTCCTCCTTGGGAAGCATGGAGATGTTGTTCTGGAAGGGGTAGGGAACCCATTGCTCCTGGCAGCGGACGTAGGAGATACGCTGGTGGGTGTACCAGTCGTCGTCCTTGGGGAGAGCCTCGTTGATGCAGTCGTCGAAGTACTTGTAGTGGGAGAAGATAACGTGGCCACCGACATCGTAGAGCTGCCGACGGGTTAGTTGTGACGATTCTTTGTTTGCTCAGACGACGGCAGAAGCCAGATTGTACGTACGAAGCCTTCGGGGGTGACATCGGTCGAAGCAAGACCACCGGGGGTCTCGTTGCTGTCGACGATCAACCACGAGGGGCCATTCTAACGGTCACACAGTCAGTATTTCTGAGGAATGTGCGCATTCACGAGGGTCGCAATCGTACGATCTGGTTCAAACGCTTAGCGGCACCCAAACCAGTTGGGCCAGCGCCAATGACGAGGACGTCGACGGAACTAGAATCGAGCAAGAGGACGAGGTTAGCAATAGCGCTTCGAAGTTGCGATGACCCCTGAGAGCAGGATCGCGACGAGGGAGTCTTACATATCGGGGTGGGTCATTCTGCCTTGTAGGATATCCTGAAAGCTGGGAACGCGGTTCAAGGTCTTGCGGGCGAGACTGAGCATAGAAAAGATCTATGAGGCTGCAAGAATTGCAGTATTTAAAGAAGCGGTAAGGGGGAGGGGGAGAGGAGGAGAGGGAGGAGGAGGAGAGAAAGGAACGGTGAGGGAAGGTAATATTAGTATTATTAGTATTAATAGTACCAAATTATTATTATTTATTTCTGGTATTTTGCCGGGAAAACCCAACGTGACAAGAAAGATGTGGGGAGTTGTCTGTTTCAAGTTTAGACCGTCCCGATTCCTCCCTAATCAAAGGAAGACAGAGTGATGATGAATCCCTATCGCTATCAACCCTGGGAGAGGGAAAAGGGGAAATCCCCAGGCCTTCCAATTTAAAAATTCAAAACAAAATAACCAAATCAACCAAACTCAAAACCCCCAAACTTGACAGAACACGCGGCGCTATCCCCGATACTTCGCAGTGCCAGCCATTCGACTCGGTCGCGATGCGCCATCTGACCGGGTTCTGCGGTCCCGTTGGATAGAAGTCCCAGCAGGGCAATTTGCTTGCGCTCCGGTGGCTAACGTTGGATACGATTGGTCTATCGAGCTGCTTATCGTCGAATACTGAGTACATCTGGATGCAGCTGGCCCTTTGGTGCTCATCTGCACTCATCATGGCGTCGGCATCCATTGCCTTATTTTTAATTCTAATTTTATCCTTATTTCTCGGCAGGCACAGATTTCCCCTGAGATATCGTACATGTGGTGTAGGTACACCTAGAGCTTCTCTGTCTGTACGGTGTGGTGTACAGTTCTCTCTTCGCAATTCAGCAGTCCGCTGCATTCTTCTGTACACTACAGCTAGGCCGTATGCCGTGTTCAGATAGCTGTACTTCCAGAACGTAAGACACGGTGCGCGTCGAGTCCTCCATGGTGTAGCCAACGACTCCGTTCTTTTGCATGACATTGACGAGCTCCTGGAGTCTGTACACGCTAACGTCGACACGGTCGTACAGACTACGGACTACTCCATATTCCATATAGGACTACTCCGTACTAAACCCTGACCCTCCGCCGTCTGTGCAGCACCGGCACCTCGTCATTACGCACATGCCTGCTAAGCCCTCTTAACTCTTTAACGGATGGATGGACTTGACTGGAGAGGGTTGACAATTGACATCAAAAGGATCGTCCCTCAATTGATCCATCACACTTGTCAGGACTCAGGATGTAATTTGTGAACAGCCGAATCCCCACCGACCGTCCCCCCTTGAAGCGGAAACTCAGAGCCGATCGCTTTCCAGAATCCGCCAAAAAAGACGTTTATCAGGGCTAAGATGAACCAGGATGGCGGACGAAACCGACAGAGGCGAATGAAACTACCAGCCACGCAGGGTTTAGGAGGAAAAGCTTCGTGGACTCTTTATTTTAATTTTTGTTTTCTTTTTCTTCATGGGACAGGATAGCCGTTGCCATCGGGTTGTGCACTGCACTGCAAGATCTTGTTCCCGTCTTCTGTCCTCCTCCAGCATGGGCAAAAATAGAAATAACATGTCTTCCTGGGTGTCACCGTACCCATGAACAATTTGTATTGTTATCTCTTGCCCCCGACCGTACCTGAGGTCCTCAGTCCTCAGTAGTCGGAGGATGAATCCATAACCGACCAACAGACCATCGTGGGTCAGAACGAGTCCCTGAAAGAGAAGGCAAGAAAAAACGCAAGCAGGTCGATTGAACCAAAGGGATGGCGTCAAGCCCGCAAGCCATCAGATCGCCGCATTCTCCACTGGCAAGGGACCTTTGCGGCAGCGCTATGGACAAGTGGCCGCTGAACGCGGGTAAGAAGTGCTTGGCTAGCCGGCTGCTTGCGTAATGCACGTCGTGCCAAACAAGTCGGTGTTAATTTTGATCAACACGCTGCGCTTGCACTGGTAATTCCTGCTCGATTTTCCCTTACACCGTAACGCGTTGATCGACACCCAGTCGTTTCATCTCGTACTTAGGTAGTCATGGATAGATAGATCGGAGAGCAACGACCACGTACTCGACAATATCGGAGGTTTCTGCTGCGACGGCTCGCCTATCTCTCTCTTTTATCTCTTGTCTCAATTAGTCTTGCCTACGTAGGAAGGACCAGAGACAAAAAAAAGAAAGAGAGGCGTCGTGAGTGGGGCGAGGAGCTAAGAATAATAATGAGAAGTAACGGAAAAGGGGCAAAGAGAGGTCGTAAGTGGAGCCCTAGGAGATTGACACCAATAACTTCGCCAGTCGCCAGGCTCGCCACGAGAGTTGAAGTTCTGAACATTGGCCTTGCCCCACGCCCGCACCAATGGATGGAGGGGAATTGCAGAGAGGTTACGGTCTGACCCACCGGGGAGGTTGGACTGGGACTTGGAGCAGAGGGTTTGGCTCCATAATGGAGGAAAAAGCAATTAAACTGATGGCTGAGGAGTACGTAGTCGGTGCAACTTGCCTCGATTCCCCCGGCTGGCCAGTTGGTTTTTCGTGTTGAATGTTGAATGTTGAATCTGAATATTGAATCACTGGACTGCTGAGATTTCAGAGACATCTACTCCGTACTCCGTAAGAGGACACAGACCGACAGACAAAGAAGAAAAAAGACGGAAGTGTATGTAATGTATGGTACATGTACCGTACGCAGGCCTGGAGCGCAATTTCCCCGAGTAAAGTTAGCGTATGTAAGGCACGCGTACAACCAGCATACAGCGTCACCGAGACCTCATTTTATCGATCTATTGATTCTCCACACCCTTTTCGCCCCTCCTCGTCTCCACTCGCTCAGGCCAGACGCCCAGCACTCGAAACTCCCCGTCAGAATCACTGGTAGTGTTTCAAGTCCGACGCTCGCCATGGGGAAATGTGGTACTAAGAATAATTTAAAAATAATTAAAACCGTTTTAGTGTACCAGAGACGACTGGAATTGGGATTGAGTCCTGGGAGGGGTCTGTTGTACGCAGTCAGTACACCGTAGGAGGTATGGATTCTATTCAGTTCCGGTTCCATTCGACGTTGGGATTTGTTTTGGGGGTCATCCCTGCTTCCACCTTACTGCAACTGGACTCACTGGACAGTGGACTCTACTTGTAGGCGGTCGCGCCCGGTACGGTAAAGCGCCGTAAGCCCGGTCGACTAAGACGGGGCCCTCCAACGAACGACATATCTGACCTGGACCACGATCTCCGGTCTTCTCGCTGCCCCCCCTTTCACTCTACCAAATAATATTTCTCATAATAATAGATATTCGTCCAGAAACCAACCTACCCTTACCCTACTTCCGTGCCGCGTTCGCAACCTTATCCTTCTGACCAAATCGCCTGTCCCTCCCCAGCACCTAAACTACCCGAACGGATTTTTCCATTTTCTTTTTATTCTTTTTTTTTTTTTAAATTAAAAAAAAAGAGAAGAGAAAAAAAGGGAAAATATACGTACCTCGTTTCCATCCATCCATCCTCCCTTCTTGATTCTCTCTTCCCTCCCCTCCCTCCACTTCATGCTCTTCATTGTTGCTTGATTCTTGTTGTGTCTTAATTTTTTTTGTTCGCTTCTTTTCTTTTTCCCTCCCAGCCAACTATTATCTCACTCGTTAACTATCTTTTCGTTTTGATTCTTTTCTTATCCGCTTGGACTCTCGGTCTCAATTCTTTCTACTTCCCCGTCACCCTCCACCTTTCCCCGTGGCCTCCGCGCAGTTTAGCCAAAGCAGCCTTTTACGGCCGCGCCCTTTCGATTTCCAACGCTTCTTATCAGACCAAGCTCGCACAATCAAGAAAATGAGTTCCGAAGGAGAAAAGGCCAGAACCTCCGGCGAGGTCTCTCGCCCGGAGCCCGCTTTGCCCACCGTGAACCCGGCCGCTGAGAAGTCGGAGCCTCCCAAGCCTACCTTCCACCCTGCGGTCTACGTGAGGTATGTAGCTGGCAGATCTCTGACCCTCTTTGCTATCGGAGATCCGTATTAACTTGGTGTCAGTGTCTGGATCGCCCTGAGTTCCAGCGTTATCTTGTTCAACAAGAAGATTCTTGATAACAAGGAAGCTCCATTCCGTAAGTGCAACTTTTTCCGTTTTCAATTGAATCACGACGATGAACTAACCATCTTCTCGCCCAGGCTTTCGTATGACCTCCCACCCTCGAGTAATCGAATTATACCCAGATCTGACCGTCTTCTAGCTATCTTCCTTACAACATGGCATCTGGCGTTCGCCACCCTGATGACCCAAATCCTTGCCCGCACAACCAACCTGCTCGATGGCCGGAAGACCGTGAAGATGACTGGCCGGGTTTACCTGCGCGCCATCGTCCCTATCGGTCTTTTCTTCAGTCTGAGTTTGATCTGCGGTAATGTCACCTACTTGTATCTGAGCGTTGCTTTCATTCAGATGCTCAAGGTATGCTTGCTCCCCATCGAACTTCGGTCATGTTCCTTGCTCATCGTGATACCTAGGCTACCACTCCGGTTGCCGTGCTTCTGGCTACGTGGGGCATGGGAATGGCTCCTGTGAACTTCAAGGTGCTCTCGAACGTCGCCGCCATCGTCATTGGTGTCGTCATTGCGTCGTTCGGTGAGGTCAAGTTCGTCCTGATCGGTTTCCTTTTCCAGCTGGGTGGTATCGTTTTCGAGGCGACCCGTCTGGTCATGGTCCAGCGCCTGCTCAGCTCCGCCGAATACAAGATGGATCCTCTTGTGTCTCTGTACTACTTCGCTCCGGTCTGCGCTGTCATGAACGGTCTTACCGCGCTTTTCATTGAGGTTCCCAACATGACGATGAACCACATCTACGGCGTTGGTGTCTCGACTCTCCTTCTCAACGCTGTCATTGCTTTCCTGCTCAACGTCTCCGTCGTCTTCTTGGTACGTGTCGCCGCGCTGCTTGCTTTTTGGACCCGAACTAACTTGCTACAGATTGGCAAGACTTCTTCCTTGGTGATGACCCTCTGCGGTGTCTTGAAGGATATCCTGCTGGTTGCCGCTTCCATGGCCATCTGGCACACCCCCGTCACCGGCACCCAGTTCTTCGGTTACTCCATCGCTCTTGGAGGTCTCGTCTACTACAAGCTCGGCGGCGACAAAATCAAGGACTACACTGGCCAGGCCAACCGTGCCTGGGCTGAGTATGGTGCCAACCACCCCGCGCAGCGCAAGTCGATCATCATCGGCGCTGTCGTCCTGATCCTGTTCCTCTTCATCGGCTCTATGGGTCCCAGCTACGCTCCTGAGTCTATGGACCGTATGAAGGGCATGCTTGGGGGCGCCACCACCGGAAACGCGTAAAGCGTTCACACTTGAAACGCTCTCGAGTCCGCAGTCCGCATTGCCAAGACCCTTCTGCCTGGCCTTCCGACACATAGGCATGATCTAGTGGATGGGATGCTCCTTACCCACCGTTAAGGTCGGAGGTAGCAAGACTGGACGCGCAATGCTTTTACCAGCAAATTCCGACATTATTATTATTTTTTTTTTCACTTCATATTTGGGCCTTTTTTATAAAGCTTTTCGACGGCCACCCTACTGCCTTTTTAAATTAAACGATAATGTCCCTCAGTTGAGGTAGTCCAAGGGAACGAACGGGCTACATGCAGGAAATGCAGCCTGTGCCAGATGGGTCTCCCTTGAATACCATCTCATGGATTGATATGACTGCGATCTCAATCTCGAGGTCAATTCTCCCTTTCCTTGTTTACGCTGTCATCCACGGGCATTTGTCCCTTGAATTACTTGCGATTTGGCTCGACGAATCTTTGTCATGTTGAATTACCATGTGCTTTTTCTGGTGTTGAAAACGGCGACCTGTCGTTCTTCTGTCTCATTTTTCCTTTCTTCCCTTCTCTCTGTTAATATACTTTTGCTATCTTGTTCAGCTGCACGAAATAGAATTGACATCTAAGTTTGCCAAGTCCCCGATCTTGAGTAGTAATCCGTGCTCCGATTGCCTCAGGTGTCTCCCGACGCTTTGAGACTAGACCCGGTGGATCTCGTTTACGGGCCAATAAAATGCTAGTGGAACTGCGAGAGCTGGATCTGCCCGCGAATAGGAGATGTCAGTGGCGTTTCGGGGGACCGACGCGCGGACGAGGCTTGCAGAATGCGCCAATCGTGATCTGAGCGGATCTCCACTTCCAGCTGGTTGCCCGGCACCATCGACCAATAATGCAAACAACTTTTAACATATTAATTTATGATTTGCACGAATCCTTGCAGGCCGGGCTGGGCGCTGTATGGTAAGCTAAACGACTTTCTCCGCATGGATGTCTCGCACCGCAGTCGCGCCTCCATCTTTCCTTCTTCTCTTTCTTTCAACTTTAAGCCCGTCATCCCGTGGCCGTTACCTACTTTTCCTCTTCTTCCTTCCTCTGTTCTCATCTTCTCTTTCTCTCCCTTCTTATACTTGGTCATCTCTTCCTCCCATCCTAGTCCATCCATCATCCGTCCTTCTCTTCTCATCATTTGCTTTCCCTTCCTTCCTTCTGGCACCTGCGCAGCCTCGTCGCGCTGATCTCACCCTCTTATTGCGACCTTGTCCCATTCACGCGACCTGGGACTCTGTTATCTTCTGAATAGGTTCTTGTATCTTCTCACTTCTAGCTCACTGGACGTAACAGATCGGACAATTTCTTTCCTAATCTCACCTTCGACATCTCATCTATATCCTCCATTGAACCATCACGATGTGCCCGATGCTTCTTAACAGCTTCTCCGACGGGCCTGCCATGGTCATCTCCCCTACCCAACAACACGCCTTTGTTCAATACCCTCGCCATCTTGACTCGGCGCCTGGCACGAATTCGAGCTCCTTTTTCGCGAATGGCTTCACTTCTCATACCTCCCCCTCGGCAGTGAACCCGTCAGTAAACAAGCTGGCCACGCCCGGTCCGGTTGCTGGAAAGCCCTCCCGCAAGAGATCGCGCGATGAAGCCGCTTTTGAGGAAGCTATGAATGCCCCGATTGCCCCTGTGCAAGCCGCACCCGCTCCTCCCCCGAAGGAGGAAGAACCCATCTACGGAGAAGGCATGGTTCTTCTCAACCCGCGTACAGGGGTGGCCTTGTCCGCGGAAAGCCAGACTGGCACTTGGTACGAAGAGGTTTCCGAGACCGCCGCTACGGCGCCTACTGCTCAGGCGGCCGGCTCATCCGGCCTGGCTGGCCGCAAGTCGCAGCGCCTTGACCCTGCCGCCCCTAATTACGACGATATTGCACTTTCATCGATGCAGCGCCTGCAAGATGCGTCTGGCGATGATAATCGCCGCCACCTCAATGCCTCCAGCGGCTCAAATCCATTTACCTCCGGCGAGCCATTGGTCGACGACGCCACTCGCCTATTGGGCATCAGCTGGCAGCGCATTGGCATGGACGACAACGATATGGCTGCTGCGGTGCGGGGCTGGAAGAAATACATCGACCGACAGTTTTCTAGCCACCTTTCCGACTGCGAAATCCTCATGAAGAACCGAGCCCTCAACGCCTACCTCGTCACTGCACGCCCGGTGACACCCTTCGGGCTTGCGGCCTCTCCTGCTTTCTATCTCTTCAACGATGACCTTACCCAAGGTCAGCTCGTGAGCTCTAGCTGGGAGAACACGGTGCAGAACCTTCGATCCACCCCTATCGTCTTCGAAGGTGCCCAGGTCTTGAATGCCTCGTCTCGCCCCATGACCCAGGGCCAAGGCAACGTGCTGGGGTCCAATCCTGCCGACGCAGGACTCCCTCTACTGCAAACCCTCAGTGCTCAGCCAGTCGGTGGTGGGTGCGCCGAATTGAACAATGGCGTGGGGCTGGGTACGGGGATGGAGATTGATGCGTAAACGAGAGAATCAAAAGTTTGCTTATTCAACTAACGAAACCTGAAAACGACAAGGAACGCCATGTCCCGGACCGTCCTACCACGACGCATTTCAAAAACCGACACTATTCTATATCGCGTTCACGTCTAACCGCAATATATCGACAGAAACGATCGCAGTTGTCGCCCCGTTTTCCGTCGTCGATTCGCTCAATTTCGGTATTCGCTCGCCGTTCGTAATTCATCGAGATTCTGATGTTTGTGATAATTTTTTCTTTCTTTTTCTTCTACATCGTTTTATCTCGACTCTTCTTGGTGCTCTCTATATTACTATTATTATTGTAACCGGGCTTTTCGTTTTTGGTATATTGGGGGTATTTACGGGGCAAATGGTGTTCAATACCTGCAGGGTCTTGGGATTTCCTTGCACTACTTCTTTCTTTGCTTATATGTTCTGTCTTTTATTCGTCATATGTTGATATCGTCGATCCGTCTTACGCGAAAGATAAGAAAGAAAGAAAAGAACAGAAAAGAAACTATGGAAACAGAAAGAATATATTAAGATTGGATTTGAGTTTTGCCTTGCGATTTGGTAGGAATAAAGGTATCATGTAGTGTAATTGGGATGGGATGCAAATCTAGTTATTTGAGCCACGAATAAGTTTATCTCGACATCCTCTCTATTCTATTGCCCTACTAGTAGTTTGAGAGTAAGAGGCAAGATGTCTTTCACCATAGGCATTTTAAGGTGCCTAAGGCACGTTCCGTCGGCAACGCCCCGGGAGCCCGCTGTTCTTTCCTTCCTACTTTCCCACATTCAACAACGAATATTCAATCACTTCGACCAACATATTCTATCAAATTGGATATGACAATTGTCGTATCCAAGAAAAGCCAGAAGGCAAACAATGAACTGTTCCTCAGCAGGTATGTTCGACTAGCGTGGCTCTTTTCTCGCGGCTAAGTAGCATTCTGCTCTCCATCAACAGACTGATCCCAAATCCCCCGATATGCCTTTACCCTCCGACCTCAGCTAAGCCTTCGATTCCGTGGGCAAAGTAAAGCGCTTCGTTGTTGTTATCGTCGCCCGTCTCTTCTTCGCTGGACTCCGCTGCACCACCCACTTTGCTGAATTTAGCTCGCGCCATTCTGCCATTTCCTGCTCTGCTATAGGGATATCATAGCTGGATTCTCACCAGGAGCTCGTTGACAGCATGGGTTAATGTATCTGCAGTCTGTCCGATGACTTACGCCTCTTCTCCCGAGATCCTAGATGATTTGGCTTAAAGAAAGGTCTAGACTTGCCCTGATGGATGGATGCAGACCGCCATCCAATGGGACTGAAAGCCCAGCCTGTTCCGCAGTAGATTGGGTCATGAGACAGTCTGCAGAAGCCTTTTTTTCAGCTGCGATTGGATTAAGGTCTTTATGATTAGCGGATACGGTCTCTCCATCTGCCTCTTAGCGTACTGCAACTCAGTGCGCCGTTCCAACTGGCAACTCAGGTTCTCCAGCACTCAGCGGATGCATCAGCCAGTACAGGTGCTAATGATAATACTGCTGGTCGGACCGTCCAAGAAGTCTGTCCTGAGACTGCGACTCCGGTTGAAAAAGGCCCAGGGGATAATTTCAATTGGATGGATGCGTATCTTCACGAGGAGTTGTCTTGACCGACGGTGTCTATGGAAGATGATGTGGATGTGCAATATGATTTTTTCTTGGACGTGCCTTTGTCATACCATATTCATTTGAGCTCTTCTTTCTCTAGTTACATATGAGGCAGATTGAATGTATGGATGGTTAGTTATAGCCCACATTTCTAGTCAACTGTATCGCTCTCGGAGTTTACCTTGCCTGCATCAAGGTAAGGCATATCATATCTCATGCATGCCAACTCTCTCTCTCCGAAAGATCTAACATAATAAACGCAATGCAATGCACCTTTTCGTCGTTTTTAACGGGAGATAAAAGTCCAATGGGTAAATAGCAGTGATGGAAGTGCATGTGCAGTGTCTGATGCATGCAGAAGAGATATGCAAGTACCTGATTTTCTTTCCTTTTGAGTTTCTTCGATTGATTTGAGATAAGGATATTCCTTTCGTGGAGATGAGTGGTTTGTTATTAATTAATCTTCTATACTATCTATCTAACTGTCTGTTCTCTGCTCTCTCTATTTTTTCCCTTCCGCTTGGAGTAGGAGAGAGAGAGAGAGCTCAGTTTAGCTATTTATTGTATATGATGATCTTGATCCAAATACTAGGAAGAGATACCTAGTCATTCACTCCGGGCAGAATGTTCAAGTACTAACACGTGTAATACTTTCTAAAAAGGTATACTCGCCCATATGTAAGAGTGCATATCCATCGTTAGCCCAACCTACCAGATGAAGCAGGCCCATCACCACCGGTGGCACCACCAGCACCATCCGCCGCAGGCCTGATATCCATATCCTTACCCCTATCCTTCGTCCCACCCCCGTCAACAGGGGTAATAACATCCTCCTCGACCGGCGAGGTCCCAGACGCAGATCTAGACGTAGAAGTAGGAGAAGACGAATAAGAAGACCCCGATCCATCGTCCGTAACCGATACCTCCGTCACGCGAGGCCGAGGACATTTCTTATCATCTCCGCTCCCAGGGCCCGAGTCTTTCTCGTCGGGTCGTTCTATGCCGCAGTCGCAGTGGATATGCTCTTCGTCCGGCGGTGGGAGGGCGGAGCGTTTGGTGAGGAACAGGGTGTCGATTTGTTCGAGTGTTAGGCCGGCGGTTTCGGGGTAGAAAAAATAGATTGTCTATTTTATTGTTAGAATTTTGTTAGTGTGAGTTGGTTGAGCCGGGGGGTTGGGTTGAGCGGGTGTGTGGATGTAGATGTGGGTTAGGTAGGGGTCTGGTATGGGAGATTGTATATGGATGGCAGGTGTGGATGGGAATATTGCAACTTGCACTTGCAAGGAAGGCAAGGCTTACCGGAATGAAGAGGAAATTGAAACACATGAAAATCAGATACCCCTTCCAGGCCAAGTCCTCGATCAAGGTGGGAGAGATCATTGAGATGAAGAAATTCCATAGCCAGTTGGCGGCGATACTAATGGCTGTTCTGTTTGGTTTTTCATTCTCAGCTTCGTTTCCCTTTTCCTCTTTAATTGCGTCGATGTGCATTGGTAAGATGGACGAAAGAGAGATGGAAAGGAAGGGGGAGGGACCACTCGTTGGTATGTGAGCCAGTGAAGTAAAAAAGTAGAACGTACCCTTTAGCGCGAACATGCAGGGGCAGCAGCTCCGGGCCATACACCCAAGGGATGCAGTTCAGCGAGGCACCAAATGTTAGCAAGAACAGGAAAAAGAATGCCACCGACGCCGAAGCGGTTTCTGTCTCGACGGCCGTCCCTACGAGAAGCCAAATCGGGTCAGTAAAGATACAGAAAAGGACTCGAGGGATGGATTTGTTCCGAAGGCAGGGTTCCCGGAACATGCTCACATACCTTGGAAGGAAAGAAGAATGGAGATCATCATCATGCAGAGGAAGAGGCCGAATGAGCCCCAGAGCATGGGTTTCCGACGGCCGAGCCGATCGACGAAAAAGGTTGGGTAGAATGCGCCTAGTGGTGGAAATCAGTCAGTCAGTGTTTATCGGGATGATTTGTTGGGGGTTTTTGATCAATTCTTACCAAGACTGAACATGAATTGGATCACGCCGCCCATGAGGAGACTGGTTTTCTTGTCGAGGCCGATGTTGGTCTCGAAGATGGAGGTCACGTAGGACTGGATTTCGTGTTGGTCAACTCGGGGCAGTTCAGAGAGCGTGGGATGCACTTACTACTATCATGTTGACACCACACATCTGGTTCATGAACTGCAAGCCAAAAGCCAGTAAGACGCGTCGACCGGTCCGCAGCTCATCTTTCTTGAACAGCTGACTCCATTTGTATTCACCCCGTAAGGCATCGAGCTCAATGGCTCGCTGAATGCCCTCCGACTCCTTAATAACTTTGGGGTCATCCGGAAGACAATCATAAAAGTCACACAGGACCTGAAAGCCCTGGGCAACGTTCCCCCTGCGATAGAGCCAGCGCGGGTTCTCAGGAAGTCTAATCTTGTCAGTATTACCTAGAATTGGCAGACCAACCTCCCACGCAGCATAGTAAAGACTCACCCCACAACCATCCCGGCAATAAAAATAACCAGTACCCCCTGGCAGGCGATGGGAAGTCGCCAGCTCATGGGTCCGTCGACATAGCTCATTCCGTAGTCAAACCAATAAGAAAGCACGATGCCGACGCCCACACATAAGGGTTGGCTGCAAACGTACATTCCTCGCCTGCGCGCTTCGCAGAGTTCAGATTGGTAAACCGGCGTGACGGTAGTCATGGTGCCCACCCCAATGCCAGTGACAAAGCGGGCGACGAGCAGCTGCGCGGTGGTGAAGGAGCTCGCTTGCAAGACGGCTCCAATCTGCGGGTGGACCAAATGATATGATTAGTTTGGAACACTTTGTGCCTCGTTGGTCTGCGTAGGGTAAAAGGTAGTGGAGAGGCTGGTGGAAAGGGAACTTAGTACCAAAACCCACGCCGTCGACTGCCACATTGTCCAGCGGAACCCGAGCCGATCGCTCGTTAGGAAGGCGAGGATTGCCCCTGCACTGCATCCGATGTTGTAGATGGATACGATGAATCCCACGAATACCGCGCCGGGGTGATGCACTATATCGAGGAAGTCTTCATTGCCAACGATCCCCGAGAAGACGCCTTGATTGTAGCCTGTAGGCGGAGACGGTATTTCATTAGCGATCTATGTAGTCTTGCGTCAATCACTTGTTGGATACTATCACTGACCATAGACTGTAAATGAAACCTGACAGGTGATGAGGATGGCAATGCGAAGGCTAAGACCTCGACCGTAGAGGTTTAGGTGTGACATGTTCAGGGAACAAGTCTTCGCAACGTGTTTGGATAGGCAGAACTCCAAAGACCAAGATGCTTCTTTATCCAGAATGGTATGGCCAGGAAGGTGAACAGGGCCATGAGCGAGAGGGTGCCAGGGAAGTTATAGGACTCTGTCTCGCCACAAGGAGCAAGAAGATCATGGGGTTGAAATGATGCAGTGCGCGAGTACGTACGCATACTGGACATCATATTCAAGGGAAGCTAGTAGCTATGAAATGTAGGCATGGTGTATGTCTGCCTGTCTACCTACCTAAAGATAGCTCCGTCAAGTGGTTGGTGGCGCTAGAGATCCTGGGGAATTCTTAAGCCCTGCAAATACTATTGGAGGCTGGTGTCACCCCTTCTACTCCATCAGGGATACCAATGACCAGGACTGGTGGATTGAACAAGCTCTTATCGAGTAATGGGGGGAGGAAAGCTCCCCACACCAGCTGCTGAAACATACCATAATGTCATCGACAAGAAAAGGGACCACGGGCCTTGGTTGAGATAACGAGTCATCCGACTTTCTGATTGACTGGTGCTGCCCTACCAGGCTTCCGTACATTCCTCGTTATCGAGTTTACTTCACACAAGTTTGTCGCCTGAGCCACCCCGAACCCTAATTTCTAGAAACATCATGACGTCAAAGTTGATATGATTCATCGGGATTGACGTCGAGGTTGAAAGTCAAGAAGGCCGGTAGGGCAGGAGACGTGGCATACCGGAAGCTCGATCCATGAGCCATGCCCTCATCGTAGAAATATCTATCGGCTGCTGAATATTTCGATCCATAGTTGACCCCTTGCAGGTCTCGGCATTTGACCAAACGGTTTGCCAGCTTGCTGTCCAGTGGGAAATAGAATCCAAGGAACTGGTGGTGGCAGTGAAAAGATTCGGGGTCGATCTTCATATCAATAACTTGGATTCTGAGGAGCAAAGGCCGTGAGTGATCTTATACTTATGCTGACATGGAAGACGCGGTATTAAGTGTGTACTCTTCGGCCTATTTCTTTGTTTCATCTTTCTGATCTCGCAGCAGTTCGACCTAGTGGCGACTATAGAAGTTAGAAAATAACTGCGTTGTACGCTTTGACAACTGGGCGAAAATATACATGAAGAAGATGATATATGTACTAGCCCAAGTAATCCCAATTTGGTCCATTCTCCAGGTTCTTGTTTCAGGCAGTTTTGTCACAGAATTATTTTTCTTTCGAGAGTAAGCACATCGACCCTGTTGCTCAAACACAGGGACGTGATGGAGCTGCAGAAGTGTAGGTACTTGAATTATTGAAGCAGGCAGATTGGCCAGGTCCGTCACATGTGCACTAAACTACATTGGGACTATGAACGACCTCCCTATGGTTCTAGTTGTAAGATATCTTATAATCTTGGTGATTAGCACCCCGATAGCATCACAGAAGTCCACAAGTTAAAACCAAATAAGCCGTTAAGAATTCCGCCACTCGACCCATGGAGCAGGGATCGACAAGATAGATGCCTATGATTGTTCAATAGTCCAATACCGTGATGCTTGAGATTACTGAACAAGGTGAGACAAAAGGACAGGTGAAGCCCCCACATGCCATGGAAACAAGATTTCCCATTTATTCTATTTTCTTCTCTCTTGCTAATCACTATCATAGTCACTCCCCTCGTCATAGTAATCGCCGTAGTGTCCGGAGAATGCAGCGTCCAGGCCATCATCCTGGTCATCCTCATCCTCATCGTAATCATCATCCGGCTCTTCCTCGTTCTCTTCGCCCTTTGCGTCGGGATCTGGACCCAAAACCGTTTCATTGGTTTCACCGGTGGCGGCAGGAGTAGGCAGGTTGGCACTGGCCGAATCGCCGGCCGGAGATGGAGGAGAGCCAGCAGGCTTGATCTGCGAAGGAGTTGCGATTCTTGCCCGCCTCGAGGCCGCCTCTGGTTCGATACTGGCACTGCGTCGTGATGATACACTCTGGCTTCGGCTCGCGCTTTCCGCTTTTGCCTTGGCAGCGTCCTCGGCGCCTTCCTCGCCGAACAACGACTCGAGAAGACGGTAATTGATTTTCTTACTGAATCCCCTTCGCTCCAACATCCGACGAGTCGCCTCTGCCGGCGTTGACGCACGAGTGCTTCGTCCGTCCCCATCTTCACCTTCACCCTCTAGATAGGTAACGTCTCCTAGTCGACCCTTACGGCGCTTGCGAGGTTTGTGCATCCCGGGACGCGAATCTGATTCCTCCAAGGCTCTTTTCAAGGCCTTGGCCTGCTGCGTTCGTAGATAGTCCTTGTTCTCGTGCACCCAGATTCGCTCTTTGATCTCAACTTCCACGGGTGACAAGAGACAGTTTGCGACCTCTGGATCCGACTCGAACTCCGCCTCGTCGATCTCCGCGCTCTCGGAAATATTTTTGATCGTCTGCTGGCCTGATTTTGCTGCGTACACCTGGTTCTCTGTCATGTTGGAGCCCTTGGCTAACAATGCGGTCATCTCATCCTCGAGAGCCTCCTCCGAAGCGAGTTGATCGGGTGTCGGCTGGGGAAGCTCTGGTTTGCGGGAGCCTTTACGACGGCCAGAGCTAACCGGAGTAGAGTCGCGGTCGGCTTCCGACGCATCTTCACTGATGGTGGATACGGTCGACGGCCGTCGGTGGTGATCGCCCTCCATTAGAGCCGGATCAATAGGGATGCTAGGGATGGCAAAGCCATCCGCATCGACGCGATTCGGTTGGCGCGTGCCGGCGGCATCCTGGGTTTCGCCTTCAATCTCGGCCGCAGTCTCGGCGGCCTTTCTTTTGAAACTCCGGGAAGGTTTCCTTCCCTCGCGTGCTCGAGTGAAAGAGGGTGGATCGTGAGCATTCTCCAGCTGGACAGAACGGAATTGATCGACAGTCAACTCTCCGCTCTCCGTCGAGCTGAATTCATTGAGACGTTGGCTGATGGTGATTTCCGTGACTTTGACCACGTAGACAACCTCGCGAACAGTTCGGCGGAAATTGTTCATGCGTGCTGCAAGAATAAGAGCTGCACCACAGATACCGGCAGGACGACGACCAGTAGTCATCCAATCACGGTTCATGCGCTGAACAATCCGGACGGCTTCGCTAGCCACTTGCATGGTGGCATTGCCAAACTCCAATTGTTTGGCAAACCGGTAGATCAAGCTCTCAGGGTCAATGGGGTTCATTAGGAACACGTTACCACCGAGACGCAATTCATCCAACAAGGACTTGTACGTTCGACCGAGCTTGAATACGTTGATCATGAGAACGTCAGCAAAATCGATGAGCATGATGGTGTTACCATCCTGTCGACGACAGGCGATGTACAAGCAGACCGCCGCGACCGTTTTCGTGCGACGACCTTGAATGAAGTTCAGGCCCACGGCAAGTTTGAAGACCTGACCGGCAGCCTTCATCGCACTTTCAGGTATCATCAGTGCACGTGACAGTTGACTGATATAACGATTGCCATTCTGCTCCGTGATTTCTCGACTTTCCATGCCACTCCCGCCTTGGAAGCCCGGGCCGAAACTGCGGACATGGGATTGATCTTCACCCACAAAGGTACCCTGAACGACGGCAGCACCCGAAGAGGTTTCTCCAAAGGTGACCTCGGAGACGATGTTTGCTTCGCTGATGACAGTACCGCACCCGGAACAGACCTTTTGTCCGTCATCCTCGACAATGTGAGGCGCGGGACAGCCGGGGTTAGGGCAGGTCGACGTCTTGGGATGAGTGGTTGGTCTCGCCGGCTGAGGACGGGCAATGGACTGAGGACGTTTGATAGCAGTGCCACCACCCGGTGGTTTGAGACTCGCCAGCCGACCTACAGGAGTTGCTCGGGGATTATTCCGAGGAGGAATTGGAGGGCGCATGCCGGGCCTGGGGACTGACATGGTGTATGTTCCCGACGGGGAACCGTTCAGGTAAGAAAATAGAAACCGAATAAGATATATAATGTTTCACAATGGAGAACGAAGTGAGAATGAAGGTAGAGTCGAAATCAGTTCATATCAAAAAAGTCATCATTGATTACTAGGCACAATGGGATGGTCCAATGAGAGGGACTTAGGGGAAAAAAAAAGAAGAAAAGCTCAGAGAAAAGACCCTCCTGGAGTACTATTGTCGGCAGATGATAGCACTCTACTTGTCTGATTGAGAACCAGCTCTTAAGGGACGATGTCGAAGTAAGATGGATTAGAGGGCTGAGCAGAAGACAAATGTAGATTAACCGAGTAGAAGGAAGAAAGATGAAGTTGAGAGAGAAGAGGGAAGAAGTCGGCGGGGAACGTAAAATCCAAAAAAGACGACGGTCGCGTCTGGTGGTCCAACGGGCGCGTCACGTGTCACCGCCTAATGACCCGGAAGAATGGTTGACTCTCCCGAGTGGAGGACAGGGATCGATTCCCGTCGGTCGCTTCTCATCTTTGTTTCCTTTCGGGCATCTCCCATTTTCCATCTTCCCCAGACGGACCAACGAACAGTTGGAGTACGGATCTGATAGCAGCAGATTATTCTGCCAAAATCATACCTGATGCATTATCAAATGTCCTACTGATCCACCTAATGTTGCTGAACTCAGACTTCGAGTCCCTTCCGAGGACGTTGCCACACCGTAAACTTATCGATCGAAGCCGATAAACATGTCAAAGAACAAAATGATTCATTGCTCATAATACGGGTTAGAAATAAATTCAGGTGGAAAACTTTAGATGGATTTGGTTGATTGTGTGGTACATCTGGTTTGTGGACGAGGTTGAGCCATTTTCGCGTTTTTTGCGCCCTTTTCGCGTTTTTTTCGCCTCATCATCTGGAAGGCTCCAGTAGCCACTCCTATATATTAAAGCCCTCGTCCATCAGGGTCCCATCTAATAATTCATAAAAATTTCTTTCACTTATATTGTCATTCGAACGATATAATCTTAGCCCTGTTTGAGAGGCTTTCAGGACAAGACTGACATTGCCTCCGAGATTGCCTTCCGCTGCTAAGTCCTTTCTCTTAACGCTTTCACATACTCATGAACCTTTATAAGAGCCAGACGCCCCGTTCCTGCCTTTCGTGGCATTGAAAGCAAGTTAGGTCCTTCGACAGCTCGGCAACTGGACAAAGTTCCTGCATTCTTGAATCATGCAGTCGCCGTTGCCGAAGAATGCTGTCCCCACAGCCCAGGACACGACAACGCTTAGAAGCGTTTTCTTCGTCAGTAATATCCACTGCTCGTCATGCGTCGCCTACATCACGGAGATCTTTTCTGAGATCGCAGGCGTTCGGAGCGTCGACGTTTCCATCCTGACGTCCCAAGTCTGTGTTGTGCATACCACTGAGACGACCCCTTCAAACCTCGCCACGGTCTTGATCCAGGCGGCGTTTGAGGTCCACCACGTCACTACGGAGGATGAGAGAGGTATGACGGTGTCGGATTTTGATACAACCTCGTCCCTTCCTCGAGACACCATGCTTTTCACAACCCAGCAGGACAACCATTCGAAAGGGGAGCCACAGAATCGACACATCGCAAACTGTGACGCGTGTCGAAAGGAGGAGCTGAAACGTGGTTCAGTCATCAGCTCGTGTGTGTCTAAGGTTGCGTCATTCCAGGCGGTCGAAGCTTCCAGGTTCAAAGCCCGCGTGAGCATCGGCGGGATGAGTTGTGCGTCATGCGTTAATACTATCACCAACGAGCTCAACCAGCTGGATTTCGTCGAGGATGTGGTAGTCAACTTGTTGACCAATAGCGCAACGCTGGTTTACCATGGGCCCCAGAAGAACTCGGGAAAACTGGTGGATCAGATCGAAGATATGGGGTTCGAGGCTACTCTTGATGAGGTGGAAAGATTGAGCGATTCATCAACTTCTGAGAAGACTCCTATGTACACGGCTGAGATTGCCATAGGTGGCATGACTTGCGGTTCATGCTCCGGCGCGGTGACTCGGGGTCTTGAGGAGTTGCCTTTCGTCAAAGAGGTTTCGGTGAATCTGTTATCGCATAGCGGAAAGGTCGAGTTCGAGGGCCAGGATAACGTCGACTTGATCGTGGAAAAGATTGAGGATCTGGGATATGACGCTTCCATTACTAGTGTGCACCCCCAGGCTTCGAATCCCAAAAAGGATGAGGTCGTCAGTCGAACAGTTTCCATCCATGTGGATGGTATGTTCTGCCACCACTGCCCTGAGAAGGTCCTTGGATCCTTGAAAGGCATGCCAGGCATAGAAACCGACGACGCGCTTTCAGTCAAAAACCCCGTCCTTCGAGTCACCTACAAGCCATGCCCTCCCACGCTTACCATCCGAAGTATTATCGATGTCCTCAACAAAGCACACCACGCTTTTACCGCCTCTGTCTACCACCCTCCTAGCATCGAAGACCGTTCAAGAGCGATGCAGTTGCACGAAAGGCGGCGGCTACTATCTCGTCTACTTTTCGTTCTCATTGTCGCCATCCCGACATTTTTGATCGGCATCGTGTTCATGAGTCTAGTCTCCACCGACAATCATGTTCGAAAGTATTTGGAAGGATCGATCTGGGCAGGAAATGTCTCCCGTATCGAATGGGCGCTCTTCATCATGACTACACCGGTCATGTTTTATGGAACGGATATCTTCCACGTTCGTGCGGTGAAGGAAATATACTCTCTTTGGCGACCTGGTAGTCGAGTGCCGATTCTCCGGAGATTCTATCGATTTGGGAGCATGAATCTTCTCATTTCCGCCGGCACAATGGTGGCTTACGTATCGTCGCTCGCCGTTCTCATCATCGACGCCGTCGTCGCTAAGCCATCCGACAACACACATAGCATGACCTATTTTGATTCGGTCGTTTTCCTAACCCTCTTCATCCTCGCTGGTCGGTTTATCGAGGCGTACAGCAAAGCTAAGACCGGAGACGCCGTTGCCTCTCTTGGGAAATTGAAACCGTCCGATGCCTTGTTGGTCGTCAGCAGCGATAATTCGGGAGACGACATCCAACGAACCGGCCTTGACTTGCTTGAACTCGGCGACATGGTCAGCATACCTCACGGGTCTTCACCCCCAGCAGATGGAATTATTGTGGACGATGGCTCCTATCAATTCGATGAAAGCTCCTTGACGGGAGAATCGAAGCCGGTCAAAAAGTCAAGCGGTGATCCAGTATACACCGGCTCTGTCAACGTTGGTCAGCCCGTGAAGATCAAGGTAACTGCCCTTGGCAGTGCATCAATGCTTGACCAGATTATTTCCGTCGTGCGCGAAGGTCAAAGTAGACGTGCACCCTTAGAACGGGTCGCGGATATGCTCACCTCGCATTTTGTGCCCATCATCACCCTCATCGCCATCTCGACCTTTGTGATTTGGCTGTCCTTGGGTTTGTCGGGTGTTCTTCCGACAGACTACTTGGATGTGGCACATGGTGGCTGGGTCTTCTGGAGTCTGGAATTTGCGATTGCGGTCTTTGTGGTAGCCTGTCCTTGCGGACTTGCACTGGCGGCTCCCACGGCGCTTTTCGTTGGCGGCGGACTGGCTGCCAGACAGGGAATTCTTGTCAAGGGCGGAGGCGAAGCATTTCAAGAAGCCAGCCACCTTGACGCTATTGTTTTCGACAAAACCGGCACTCTCACAGAGGGAGGTAGTCTAGCGGTGTCTGATCATGAGGTGCTTCTCACTGACTCTGAACATTTGGAAGTCGCCTGGACTCTGGCTCAAAAGCTCGAAGAAAGTAGCACTCACCCAATTGCTCGGGCAATAACAGATTTCTGTCGTCAACGATGTTCTATCACCATCCTCAGCTCCGATATCGAGGAAAAGCCTGGAATGGGATTGAGAGGCACTTTCAGCGTGCAAAAAGACAGCGTTACTACGGTTAAATATGAAGCAGCAATCGGCAACCAGCGTCTGCTGCAGAGTATGTCGCCTCAATACGATGATGACCATTTGAACAGTCTCCTGTCTAAATACCAAACGTCTGGAAAGTCCACTGCGATCTTATCAATGCGCCAGATTTCAGACTCAACCTCTGAACATATCCAACCTGCCATCGTCTTTGGGATCTCCGACACCATCCGCCACGACACGGTGCAAGTGATCTCGAAGCTCCAGAAGCGCAAAGTCAATGTCTTCATGTGCACCGGTGATAACCAGATCACCGCCTACGCCGTCGCCGACATGATCGGCATCCCACGGTCCAACGTCAAAGCAAACGTCACTCCAGCCGGAAAAGGCGAGTTCGTCCGCCAAGTACAAGACGGGCTCGTCCTATCCGGGTCTCCTCGCAGCGACTCCGAAGCTGAAAGTCAACGGAACGAGAACGAGAGCAGAAATGTCCGGCAGTCGCGCTCCATCGTCGCCTTTGTCGGTGACGGCGTCAACGACTCGCCCGCCCTCGCCGCCGCAGACGTCAGCATCGCTATGGCCTCGGGCTCCGACGTCGCCATGAACTCCGCCAGCTTCATCCTGTTGAACTCGGAGCTGGACACTATTCTCCAGCTGGTAGTGCTCAGTCGTCGCGTCTTCACTCGTGTGAAGATGAACTTCTGCTGGGCCGTCGTATATAATATGAGTCTTGTCCCTATCGCCGCCGGCGTTCTGTATCCTATTGTGAACGGACACACGATGCACATGGGTCCCGACGGCGGATCCTTTATGGTGAATACTCACTGGCGACTGAGTCCAGTGTGGGCGGCTTTGGCTATGGCCTTGAGCAGTATCTCCGTTGTTCTTAGTAGTCTTGCGTTGGGCATTCAGTGGCGGAAGATTGGGAAGTGGTTCTCATTCGGTTTGGGTAGTAAGTGATTTGGGATACTACCATCTACTGATACTATTCTCATTTATCTTGCTATCTCTTTATATGATAGCTCTTGCTTGTTGCTGGGTTTATGATTTATTTTAGCATGACGTTGCTTGATTCCCCCTGCTGGTATTTAGGGTCGTATTATCTACGGTATTGGGTGGGCGAATATATAACTTTCAGGTGCCATTTTTCTCTCTTCTGTTGTGCTTCTGTTTTCCATTTGAGATGACTCGTGTCACAGTAACACTTATCATCTTAATTATTATTTCCACATCCTACGTAAATATCCTGTGGCTTACCGTAATCAAGCACGAAACCACCTACTGGGCGCGGAACGCAGAATGCGGATTAGGATGTCCTGTCCACCCAACCGTAAGATAGACGCATCCCTACGGTTGCGAACTTGGTCAGAATCACGCCATCACTTCAACTAAACAAACCAAGAAACTTGGTTGTCTTGCAGTTCGGGGACATGCAGGCTGAGAGGAGGGGCTTGTGGGGCAGCTGAGATTGGAATCTTTTCGCCACAGGATTGATTATCTAGGGCTTTTTCCTTTTTGGGTCCCGCAGCACTACCATACACCAGGGAGATAGGACACAGCTACGGGAGCCCGAAGAACCGGAAAAGCTATTACTTCATATATTATTGAGATCGTTCAATCTAGAAGCCAAGGCCTGTATCGCAATAGTTGATGTGTATCTATTTTGAAAGGACCACGTCAGCTTTCATGCAAGATGAACGCGAGATGGACATGGGTGATGGACATGGGTTCCAACCTCCACTTTTGTGTACTGCATTAGCCAATGTAACACTTACCAGGGTGTCAGGAAAAACCTGTCAAAGAGGTCTTCCTTCAAGAAAGTATTTAAATTCCCCATACGGGGAGCAAAGATGAAATCCTTCCTCGATCAATTTCAACTCTACCCTAGATATCGGTATAATCCACATCATGGCATCAGCTCACCCCGAAGGAGAAGTCTATTTCCGACGCTCAAACCTCGCATTCGGAAATACCTGGACAGCGGAGCGCCCCGAGCACTTCTACACCCACTGCTTAATCGAATGGGTGTCTAACGAGCCCATGGGTCGGAACTCCGGCAGCGCCCCAAACCACGCAACTAATCCACGGTCGACATATCTCCGCCAGAAAGGACCCGGTTTGTTCTATAATGTCTGGTTTGGCTTCTGGACTCATCTTCCTGTGAGCCTTGGGGAGCGGAATAGGATTCGGCGTGTCGTGCAGATTCCACTCGAAACCAATGTGGCGAGGTTTAAGGATCGGGATAATGGGGCTGCGCAGACGGTGAGTTATGTCGCAGCAATGCTAGCTTGGAAGCATGATTGTATTTGATATGTGTATCTGGAGGCTAATACTGGATGACGCTTCAGGTCTGGGTGCATCCTTGCCCATTGCCAAATGACGAGGAGAAGTGGCTGTGGATTGATGTAAGCTGTTTCGCCTAACTAAAACGTTGGACACAAGCTGACATGTGATTATAGCTGATTGCTCCCATTCGAGCCATCTATCTCCCCCTTTCGCAACGTGCGGATGAGGAATTCCCCCATCTCTGTACATACGTACAGGTGAATTTCTACCAGCAAGGGCGTCGAGATGTGTGGCGTCTGCCTGGCAACAGATTTGCCGCTCACCAATTCACCCCTCAAGGCGGAGTAGGATTCCTTAATAACCATACCATGGGGGTCAACGTTCCAGGTAGTCTACAACCATATTCCCGTTTATACCAATGTAAATGTGGACTGACACTCGACGAAACAGAATGCATCAAACTCCTCGCCCTCCCACCCAAACTCCGCACCACCAACATCTGGCAGGAAAAGCTCATCGTGATCGGCAGCTATAACATGTTGAGCGGCACAAACCCACTGCTGAGTCAACTGCGAACCTTCGACTTCATCGACTTCATCAACGCCAATTTCGCAGTCGATGTCATCTGGAAGCCTGTGCCGCCTCAGAACTCGTTTATTCGTGACCTCATCGGCACTGTCATCGCAGCTGGCTTGGGCTGCGTGCCTGGTGTCGGCCCCCTGTTGTCGGCGGGCTTTTCGGTAGCGTGGCAGGCCGTCACGGATCCGGATGGGTTCAGAGACTGGGCGAATAATGGAGGCTGGGCGTTGACGGTGATTGAGACTGTTATTGGTAGTGCGGACTCTATGCGTGGATACGTCCATCCTAGATGGCAAGGTAGTTATGATGTTAATCCTCGGGCTATTGAAGGAAGTTCTGGAGCAGAAGAAGACCGGGAGAAAGCATCTCAGGGAGCCGAACTTGGAGTCGAGGGTGGAGGCGAGAGGGAGAAGGACAAGGAAGAGACTGAGGATTTGGAGAATGTCGGGCCCTCGGAGCTTCTTCTGCATGGACTTCGGATCATGGCGTTCTCGGCGAGAAGTTCGAGGTCACGCCAAGATGGTCCGCTCCACACACCTATTCTTCTTCGTGCTGTTGAGGCTGGGACATTGAGTATTCCCGAAGCACTTGCCGTGGAACGCGGGCTCGAAGCAGTACCGGAGAATGACCCCGAGGAACCTGACGATCCGGAAGGAAGGGAGCTTGAGCAACAGGAAGCAGAGGATCATAGTTGAATGGAAACTAGAGTCTAGTTTTCCTAGTGAGCATGGGATACATGACTACCGCTTTATCTCCGTCCCCCATCTTTGTGACATTCAAAAACTACCTAGGCATCGCAAACCACGTAGCACATATCCGAAGCTCCATTATCTTAGTCCCCAAATCCAATAACCTCAGATACTTACACAGTACAGAAATTATGTTGGCGGATTGGTGCCTGGAGTTGGTTCAAGACAAGTTTGAGCCCGTGGTGGGAAATACTTCATGCACAATCGTCCTCGCTGTCAGCCCCCACTGGCAAGTCCTCTGCCGGCTCAAACTGGGTGAATAAATCCAACATTATCGCTTTTCTGTTGCTGTTACTGCCAATGATGGGCATCCAGTTACACTCTTTGACCTCTCTGGCATGATGATCCTCCACCATCGGAATGACCTTTCCCGTTTGTATGTTTTCGAAATTGAAGGACATCAGGCGCTCCTCTCTATACTCTCCCAGTCTCACAAAAGGCCCCCCCACGATGCTCATCCGATCGTCAAGTCTATACTTGCGGAGACCGCAGGCACGGATCACCGTCGACACGAGCAGGCAGGTCTTCCAAGTATCGTAGTCCACAAAGTCCAGAATCCGGTCGTACAGTTCCGGCGGCAGAATACCTGTCGACGTCCGCACTGTGCGACGATTCGTGGCGACTTCAAAAAAGTTGACTAGAGCCGCCAGTCCGGGGAAATGGCTCCGTAGTCTTCGGGTTGTCCCAGTGCAGTTCGAATTCATAATGACTTGATCAGGCCGATACTGGGGTTTCATCCCAGGTTTCAGCTCGGGTCGGTTGCGCGGATGGGTGCTTAAACAATACTCTGCACGCATAGGTGAGAGATCAACGGGGTAGGTGATTCTAACAAACGGTTCCACGGTGTCGCCGAACGTGACTTCCGCAAAGGCCGCTTCGAAGAGCGATAGCACGACGATCTGAAAGTTGGCGCGCCCCTGCTCGATACCCCAGTTAGCCGCCTTGTTGATAGCCTCGCCGTCAACCACCAGTGTAAGGCTGACAACCACGTTTCCGAGCCAGTACATCGTGTCTGTGGGCGATGCCCCTGGTGGCTCGCCCGGTCGATGTGACATAGAGCCAAACTCCAGCAACGGAGCTTTACTGCCCGCCCACTTTTCATCAAGCCATCCCGGTAACCTGCCCACGTGTTCTATATTGCAGATCCACCCCGGGCAACTTCGAGGATTACACTCCCGAGGAGGGAAAGAATGGTATTCGACCTGGCCAGAGGCAATCGACACAAGAGCAAAAGCCAGTTCGCGAAAAGGAAATGATCCCGGGCTCCACTCCCTCCCAAATCGGATGATATCGCGTTGATATTCAATAAGGGTTCTAGCCAGGATCTGTGTAAGGAACGCGTTCCGCGCCTCCGTGATGTTCGTCTTCGGGGCTACGACGCGAAAGTCGTGTTGGACTTTCCAATTCGGCTCTGACAACTCCAAGGCCAACGAGCTGATGTGCTCTTCCGGACACAGTTCGGAGGAGATCGTTTGCCTGTGCCGGTATATGCTTTTTTTGATGGCGCGAAGCCAGAGATTGTCCTGACGCGGGATATTCGACAGTTTCCAGTGTATGCAAAAGTTCATGGTAAAAACTTCATGGTCGAGATTGATGGTGTAAATGTACTCGGCCCAGTCAGGCAGCCGCGGGAACTCAGTAGGAAGTGTCACGAAACTGCGAAATCGCGAATAGTTGGGTTCCAACCCTTGGTGAATCTCGTAAACATCCTTTTCGAGGGCACTTTCTTTGGCCGCATGCTTGTCTCGCATTGATCGTAGCCAACCTGTCAGGTCAATGGTAAACTTCCGGTATGGCCCTGATCATTTTCTTGCGACTTACTTTGGTATTCATCCGGTTTTTCAGGAATGCTGCCGACAATTTGGGCACCGAGACCCTCAAAGTAGCCGTCGTACTGGTGATAGCGAATATAGTAACGCCCATGGAATCTCACTATTTCAAGGCCACTTGTTCCCATGGCGATCAGGCTGAAGAATATCGATGCTCCTTAACAGCTCACGTTAATGGAAAGACAAAGTTGTGGCACGAAAGACAGAGAAGAGATATAGTGAACTCGGGTGTTGTTGTTCCCGGCGGCCGAAAGCTGCCTAGTTAGGCAGTGAGTGGTTGCCTGATTGTTCCATGATTCGACCTGATCAAGTGATTTCTGCTCCTGAGAGCTACAGAACATTCCCCGCTCGGGAGGAAATGATACTTGTTTGTCAATATTATCCGGGAAGGGCCCACTGGGTAAAGACGCCATCTTGCTAGCGCTTCATAGTGTGTGAATGCCATCGGTAGCGCGCACGGGGCGGATTTTGGCTTCCCCGCTCGATACAGCAGCTCTCGGAGTTATCAAGGTACAGTAGTAGAAAATAATCTGCGAACTCAATAGGGAAGGATGGGACATGTTTTGTTAGACTGCCTGTCTACTGTACGGCCTAAAACCTCGAGCCCCTTGAACGCGTGAGAGAACGGGACATGAGAAGCCTAGTGCTACATTTCTGCGCGCCTATGTTGAAGCTTCTACTCGATGAGGTGTTTGACTTCTTTATTACACAATAAGGGATGGAATCTATGAAGTTTTGATGACTTCCTTGACACCCGGTGAGAGACAAGGATTCCTAGCTTGCACCATGTCATCTAGGTTTTTGAGAGTAAACTGGATGAAGTCTTCTTTCAATGGACATTGACAGCCGAATCCTGGATGTTATCAGCTCAGTCTTCTCTAATTGTTGGTGACCAAATTGTTCAGAAAGGTATGATAGGATATAGAGCCATCTTGGCCCTCCATGAATTTCAGGGTTTCATGTAGGTAGTAGGAAAGTACACCATGCCACTTTCCATCGAACTGTCTCTCGCGTGCAAGCTCATGAGGTCCGCAAGCGGCAATGACCATATACCCATCTGGATCAACAATCCAACTTGGAAGGGTATGGGCGTCCCTGAAGATATTCGATGTCTTACCACGTTGTCCCGTGGAAGTGGTGGGCTCTCCTTGACCAGACGCCTTAATGAGTGTTCGCACCGCACTGTTCGGTTCACAATTCTCGCGATAAAAGGCCCCGGAGAAACAGCAATCTAGAACGAGAGAAACGAGGAGTCCCTTTTCAACCATGCGATTTATGTAGCCGGCGAGGACGATGCCCTGCAGATCTGCCGTATCTGTAGCATCCTCGTTCAAAACCACCAGTGCCACATGATGATCGGCAACAATATGTGGGGAAGGATTTTTGGGAGAAAGCATACGATCCCCATGGCCCGAGTAGTGGATAAGCACCTGATCGCCAGGCTCTGACATGGAGAGGATCTTGGTCAAGTGCTCTCTTATGTTGGATAAAGTAGGCCATTTCGCAGGGTCTCCAGTGAGCCCCTTGGAGCCCGGTTGTTCAGGCGTTGTCGCTGTTAGGGCGGATATTTGACTACTCGGGACATTGCTTTCGGCATAGCGCTGGATAAGTTTGATATCATTCACACAGCCTTTCAAGGGTTGGGTAGGGTAGAAGTTGACGCCGATGAGTAATGCCCAGCGAGACATGCTCTGTTAAGCCTAGACGGATAGTGGTAATCGCTGACAATTTGATACAGAAAGGGAGATCACATATAAGATATTAGACTGATATTTATGCGACGATGGGTGAAAGTTTTTTGTTTTCGCACCATACACATCAAACTCAGAAGCAAGCATGTATGCCTTGCCCAGCCTCATCAACAAGCAGTTCGTAGCCCCGCATCTCTTGGGCGAGAAAAATGAAATACAGGGGGCAGAGTTTGCTGGAGTAATACGCAGTAGCGCCATGCAGGCTCGGGGCTAACAAGGCTGTCCAATTATTTCGTTCTGCGAGTCAGGCGAGGGATTCGGGCAACAATCGTACGAGCAACAAGGCTATCTGGGTTAATATACTGTGCATTGAGAATATGTTCCTAGTCCAAACAGGCCTGAGTTTAGCGAAAGGAGCTCTTGAATAGTTGATTATTCAAAGGTATCCAGCATCTAAAGTAGTCAATAGGTTCGCTAATAGTGGGAAGTGGAGAAAGCTCTTCTTGTTGTAGAGAATGAGGTAGCCGACTGCGTGAAGTGTTGAAGACAATGCACTTTCTAGTCACAGGGGCCTTGTCAACGATCAGAGAGCTACACTGGAGGGGCTTAGTGTTCAACATTCCGACAAAGCACATGCGTGTGCAGGACTACGTCGCCTCGGCCGGGGAATCCCCCAGCCTACTGCAACCCTGCATCCTGCAATAACGACGTCGCCATCCTATCTAGAGCATTCTAGGATTCGATTTGCGGCGGTAAAGTATGAGGTGATTTGAATGCTCTTGCGAAATCAAAAAGACAAACTATGAGACAGGTAGTTCAAAGCGCAACAGCCTCTAGGATGTACCGGAGATCGGCTGTAGTGATCCTAATGTCGCTTTCGTTTGGCATGGGGGCCCTATCGAATAGAGCATGGAAAGGAATGATAAGAGGTGCTCCTTGCACTGCATTACGGGTGACGGTGACCTCCTGAAGGCAGAATATCTGCTGGTTTACCGGCAGTTGCTGGGCGAATGGGGGCATGAGGGCCGGCTGCTGTCTGAGGTTGAGAACATAGGGTCGAGGGGCCGGATTGGGGGCATTCGGCGGGAGAAGTTGCCACTTCCGGACCTCCACGCTGGTACTCAGTAATTTGATCGTAACAACAATGCGCACGGCGCCATTCGAGTTATGAAACCACCACTTTGCGTCCTCTTCCAGCCGATTCCGGGATTCTGTTACCCCTGTCTCTAACACGAGGGTCGGCCAGCCCGGTGGAGTGCCACTAACGGGTGCTCGACTCCTAGGCCAAAAGATTTGATCACCTTGCTTCCCTTTCGTGCCAGTCGGGGAGGTATAGTTGCTGGCGCCTCCCCAGCTTCCGTCTGAACGCGATACACCCATGAGTGTGGCTTCTCTGTCGACGTGTGACGACAATCGATAGGTGGGTGACTCGTGCAAAAAGCCAGGCAGAACTTTGATCAGGATCGTATCTCCGTCCCATTCCAATCGAAATGGAATTGCGTCCAAGGTGTTCGCGTCTTCGGCAAGCCTGGTAATCACTTGCATCGGGACCTGGCGTACCAATAGATACTGATTCCCCTCTACGTCATCCTTAAGTCTGTCGAGCACAACTGTTGCCAGTCTGCTGAGCTCCCCAAGAGTTGTGAATTCGATACTGATATGTCCCTCGGGGAGGCCGTTTGTAATGGCATAAGGACCTCGGATCACTTCCATGGTTCGCAAACGGGGATATATAAGAGTCCCTTTGCTGCGATTGTCAGAGATTGTGGCCATTTTGGAAAGGAAATACACTTGAAAGTGTGGGTAGTCTGATATGTTCGTGGAAGGGCCAACGAAAGAGGGATCATTCAGGTGAGCAGGTGAGACGTAAACTTGAAGAGAATTGAGGATGATGGGTGCCGAGAAGGAAGAGAAATGGGAGGAAGAATGGGAGGAAGAGTGAGAGAAGTGGTGAGAGGAGTGGTGAGAGGAAGGGTGAGAAGAAGAGCCAGAGGATGAGTGAAGAAGAGGTGGGGGAAAGAGCGACCTGAGAGAAATAGGTTGCAAGGAATGTTATAAAATTACGTACCTTAATTTCGATAGCTAATGTCTTCCTTTGGCTTTGGCTTCCCTTTTCATGCTCCCTTCAAAAGATTATACAAGAGACAGAGTGAAGTTTTATGAGAAATCAGTGATAAAGTATAAAATTACGTTGTTGGCTGTCATGACTCGTTTGTTGGACCGGGATTCACTTCCAAATTACTATGACGTCTACCGATGGAGGGTGGCCTTCTACCACGAATGATTCATATAAATTAATTTGCGGAGTTATCAACATAGTAGAAAAGAATCTGCGAACTCAATAGAGAAAGACCAAACAAACACCTTGACTGGCCAGCGATCGCCGCAAGCCTTATCAACTTATCTTCTTTACGCAAGCCAACAATCCTCCCTCTACTCTCTTTCTGTCAAACATCTACTTCCCAAGGGCCTTGATAGCTTGATGATAATAAACATGAAATAGCGAGTTACTCGGGCATCTAATCCCATGGCTTTCCACTTTCTAGGCATTCTCAGCCCTGCTGGATTGGTCTACTGCCAAGCATGTTCGCAGCCCGCTCACATCTAAGGGCCTCATTTCTATACTGCACGAAGTCTTTTCGGTCCACGCAAATGCTTCCCACGTAACTCCGTCCGTCGTTTCCTAGGCCGCGGATCTAATTCGCAGCGAATAAAGTCGATGATCATGGCGCGGCCGAGCTCGGCGTTCCAGAGTATGTTGTCCGGTCGTAAATTCCCGTGAACGACTCCCAGGGAACGAATTTCCTCCTTAGACCTTACGATCTCGTGCGCAATCGTCCTATCATGCGCTATCCTATGCATAGGCTCGCCCCCCCAGGCCATGATAAGCATGTGGCGGATCTCGCCGGCTCCATGCACGAAGTAGTATTTGGCCAAATTGATTGCTCCTAGGAAGACTGGAACGGCAGATCCCTGTACTTGCCAGAATACACGATACACCTCTATTTCACGCGAGACCTCGTTCCAAAGCCGGGAAGTCGTTCCCTTGCCGATCACAATATATCTATACGCAGTGCAGGTGACCTTAAACAACACTCCCGATTCACCGCAGCCCCCTAGAGATTGACAGTCTCGATCAATATTGTCATCTAATTGCTCTTTGAGTTGCCGGATCAGCGTGGCAGCGTCGATAAAATATAAACTGCCGTTCCCTTTCTGTCGATGGAGTATGAAATTCGGGCAATTATCATCCAGCTGACCACCCTGTTGAAGGCTACGTAAACATTTCTGGGTACAATATAGTGCGACATGCCGCTGACCCTGATCGCCGCTCTGAGTATAGTGAAATCCTGCCTGGCGTGCCGATCGTTGAATGAACAAAAACGAAGGAGATGACGTAACCTGACTAAAACCACGCTTCCTTCCTCCTGGAGCTTGGTCTGCGTCGGAATCGAAATCGATGTGTGATCTCAAATTCGGCGGTGCGCAGCTCGCTCGAGACCGGATAGACATTCAATGTGTGTTAGCGGGCGACTGAGCAAAAAACAACGATGGTAAATATTCTAATGCGGTATTCTCCGATACCGTATATTCTGAGCCCGGTGGGCTCTGTCGCAATTCCGATTCAGGAATCTGAGAACGTGTGTGATCGAAACTGGTCTTCCACTTTGGTAGCTTTCCAGCATTATTGCGCCACTCCTGGTTACGATATTTTGAGCGAAAACTCATAAGGCATAAACACAAGACGCGGGCAACGACCGTTAGTGGCTGCTGTAAAAAGTCCACGTTATCCTCCTGGTCTACTTCCATGTTGGGTTCACAGAGATGGTAGTATAAAATACCTGATTCGTCATAAGGTACCCACAGCAGAACCAATGCGAAACCATTAATCAAATACGAGTACTCGAGCCCTTCCTGGATCATAACATGAAACTCCTGAACGATAGCAGAGCCGATTAGCCGAATTGCATTATCTCTCAGTTTCTCGGGCTCTTCCATAGAAATAGAGTCCGACATAACTACCTCGTCCCAGAACTGCATTGGTCGCAAACCCGCCCGAAGGTTCTCAACAAACAGTTTGTGATGCAATTTATATTCAACTGTCATAATAATCATCTTATAATCGCCTTCAACGCAATAAATGCAATACTGATCTGGTCGAGAACGTCCGGAACCCTGCGAGTTATTCACATGCGACCGGTCAGCGTCGTCGAGGGTGTTATTATGATTGTCGAACCGGACTCCATCACCCAAGTGAAACTCTTCTTGGGCAGTAGGTATCTTGCAAAATTCTGAAATGATAGCATGAACATAATCTTCTACGCTAAATCGCTCGTAACTCTCCAAATCCTGTTCACTACTTATTGCCCTGTTGCGGAAGCGCTGCCCCAAGTCCTCTAACACGAAGCGAGGCGAAAACAGACGTGCCGCAGTCTGTCCAGGTGACTCTAAATAGGTGCAAACCGAACAATACACCTCTTGCTGCCTGACTATGCAATCGATCCAAGGCAGCAGCTGCAGCGAACAACATTTTCCTGTAGACGCTGGTATCTTCCCCGTCGTAGAGCGAAACGGGCTTTCGGCCCTCAGAGACAGAATCAAATAGATGTAGCAGTAGCTAATAAGCTCGGCAAATGTCGTTCGTCGCGTTTGTTCTCTTCCCTGATCTCTTTCCTGCTCTGCTTGTTTCCTTAAGTGTGCTTCCCGCAAAAAGAGTGCTTTGTAATCTGGCGGACTGCTGTTAGCCATCTTGTCAAACGCGGTTGATCCCCTCGTCTAGGCGGGCATGCGGAGAAGTCGCCGTGGTTACCACATCGGATGACATGACCAAGCAGTCAGTGAATGTGGTTTTCCGGTTTCCGATTCATCAACAGGACGATCAATGAGATGCGAGCAAATTTCAGGGCATTAATGATGGAACTGTAGAGATGATGGGTGCTTGAAATGATGAAAGGTCTTCGAGGTCTCGAAGACCGCGAAACTACGGGGAAGCTAGACCTACTGCGGGTCACAGGTGCACTAAACTATATCGAGTAAGCGTATATCCGGTAAGCGCGAACGCCTGGTTAGTAAATAGAAACATCCCAACTTTGAAGCTACTGGGCCCTAAGTTGGCTAAAGAATTGCCCCATAAAAGGTTCTCGCCCACGGCCCGCAGTGGTGAAACAAGCACCCATTAGTGCATTGAACTATCTTCCAAGCCCCGTGGGAGGTTGCGCCCACAGAAATTTCAAATATCATGCGCTCCCCGAGGTAGACCTCAAAGAATTTATACTTGGTCCCTTGTCAACAACATGCTTGCAACCAAACCCACGCAGGAGTCCCCATCAACCCCGACACCGTTCATATGGCGTCTGTTTAATCTCTCGCGCCGGATATCTAGAATCTAAGTGTTGATCAGCTCTATATCACGGGCAAAATTCGGAACTAATCATAGCAACAATAAATAAGATATTTGTGTTATAATATTACCACTGGCATTTTACCTTTCCTGTTGCTACTATCGAAAGACCCCAACAAAACAGTTTGCCGGGAGAGACACCGAGGTTTGTGCATTGTTTTGAGTGGTGGCTTCTTAGTTCTGCTTATAGTACATACCTTTCTGCGAGCCTACGTTGAAGTTTCTACTTGTCGCAAAATCTGATTATATTATTGTGAGGTATTAAATAAGAGATTCCAGAGCCTGTTGTCTGGTTCTTCAACCATCTAGTAGAGCCAGGAAGCCCTAGCTTCCAACAGGTCATCTACGCACAAATGATGTATCTTCTTTCAATATACTCCAGCACATAATGGTTATTCTGACTGATCTTTCAGTGATCCAACTAGCTGTGTTTAAATAGTTTGGTTAAAGACAGTACCTATAAAAGAGTCTTCTATTGAGGCCTACCAGCCACCAGTCTACACTTCAATGCATATCACGTTTCAATGCCAAGATTATAAATGGCGTCTCAGACAGTATAAAACATATTCAAATGGATCTCCATATAAAGACTGACAACTAGCCGTTGATATTCATAGACTCGTAACATAAATTTGTGGAGCATACTCCGCACAGTGCCTTTAAGTCCCTACAGGGTGATCATTTTTCTCGAACTTGGTTCCATTCAAATGGATAAAAGTGTCCAGGACGCGACGCAAGGGATCAACACTATGTGTATAGGATCAGGAACGGTGATCTGGAGCTTGATTTCCACGCCTTTTCTATCCAGTGCGGCTGAGGTCGTACCGATCATCATACGAAATACATGTATGGCATAAAGGAGCATTTGCATCTGGCCTCGAAGCTCGAGGAATCATCAGTAAGCTCGACAACAAGTTGGGGACAGGATACGGGGACACAACCCATTGCATATAAAATACCTTTATGAGACTCGCGTTCGTTGCTCTCAGTTCAAGTCTCACTGCCGTATCGGCGGTTCCGGACTACACAACAAATGTCAGCTGCCACTCCTAGCCCAAAACCAAGTGTTTTCCTAAGTCCTTTGTTTGATACTCCTCAACGAGGCCCTATAGGGAAAGCAAGGTATTGACCGTGAAGGAATTCTATATTACTTTTGGGGTTGTTGGTGCCTATGTGTCCCGGCCAAATGCAACATGTATAGATAGGAGCATCTGACATTAATTTTCCCAGTGCCATGTGAATTGATGACCGTTGGGGAGTGCACTCTTCCAGCAAGACCAGAGATCCATTCGTTTTCTTCAATCCCATGCTA